CACACACACACACACACACACACCAGTTAATCCTTTTAAACAGACCATCACCTTTTCATAAATACATCAGTCACTGTAGACAGTCATAAACACATAACAGTCACTGTAGAAAACAGAACAATTAATAGTAGAATAATCTTTAAACGGATTAACTAATCCTGGAAGATTCAAAACATTAAGCGGTAAGATGTTTTGCTGAATGTATTAGATGTTAATATAAATGAAACTCTGCTCCTCCAGATAACTGAATGAGTGAGCTGCATGAACATCTGTTACTGTTGCAAATTGTTTTAAGAGATAATGCACCAGATTCTGTGGAATGGAACGGCTGTTCCACACTGCACTGCCATACACTGCACTAGTCACACATGAATCCCAGTACGAGAGGGATGCTACCAGTGTAAAAGGTCACATTCTCTCCTTTTTTAGCTGCTGCTGGCATAAGTTTAGGCTCAGTAGCACTTAGGCTCAACTACACAACCACAATTTTAAATCAAATGGAGTGATGCTTTGCCTTCTAGTGGTGAAAAATTCTCTACCTGGGATACACAAGAAGTTAGAAGTGAAAAAAGCAAGCTATGTTCTTCCTTTGCACGTGCAGTCTGGTTTACAAAGCACGACCTAGGATTTGGGCCAGCCTCTCAAAAGCTTTGCAGCAGTCTCTGGTTATTCATTCAAAAATAGCAAGCACTCAAAAAACAAAGAGTACACAGTGCAATACTAAAATAATGAAGCAAAAGACCTTACAGAAATATGTTTTCACTTAGTTTCCAGAAGAAAATGTTCTCTAGATGGACTGCATAAGCAACTCCTGAACTCAAATATAAAGTGATAATCTAAATGTAATGTTATGTTTTCCCTCATGGAAAATGTGATGGCTTTATTGTCTCTGCATCTTAGGTTTAAATCTGAGGCTAGCTATCTTATTAGGTGCTGTTTCATAGAGCTCTCCTGTACTTGTTTATTATTCTGAAGAAGTCATTCTTCTTGAACATACTGAAAAGAGTACAGAGGCATCATTTAACTCCTCTATTATGTCAGTTTATTACCCACAGAGACTCACAGTTTATACAAATGGACCAAAAGATATGCTAAGCTTATGTTTCACAGGAATGAGACTGATGTGTCATCGTATTCCTTGGTCCGGTAAATTTCTTAGATCTGTCCACAGGAGTAGAACTATTAATATAAAATTTAATTATTACTTTCAGAAGTAAATCTGAGTGTCAAGAAAACATTATTTATTTAAAATAATGGAATTTTCCTTATTCTTAAAGAAGAAGATGTCATTCCATATTTTTCAGACTTCTCAGAGAGAGGATGGGCAGCAAACTGACATATTTTCAAGATATTGACTTTCTCATGGTCTGGTAAACTATAATCTGTTTCCTGATATCCAAAAGCAAGAGCTCTGAATTGAAATCAATATAACACTTCAATTACCATCTTACTGTCTCTCTTCTTCAAGTGAATTAATAGAATACAGATAAAATAGCATTTTTTCAGAAGAAAAAGAAGCTCCACCTTTCTTATAAATACATTTGCGCATTAGAAATATTAATGTTCTTTACTGAAATACTTATTGAGATTTGAGAATGTTACTTATTCCATCCACAAAGTAGTGGAGAAAGGCTGACAAATAGCTTTGCATTCTATGAGTTTTACAGAATACTATGAATTTTCAAATATAGACTGAGTCTATGTAAAACAAAAAGGAATTATTAGAACAATAAAAAGTCTATAAGTAAAGGAAATTAAAAGAAAGGAAAACATAACAGACTTAAGACAGTGAAATCTAATGGAATGCGAAAAAAAAATCCCAGGGAGAAAAAAAAAATCCCAATAAGACTGGAGCCATAAAACTGCTGTAACAGTCAAATAATTATACAGAATCACAAAATGGTTGGGGTTGGAAGAAACTCCTAGAGATCACCTAGGTCAAATTCCCTGCTCCAGCAGCAACACTCAGAGCACAGGGCACCTGGTCAGTTCAGGTGGGTGTAATATGTGCATTATGCATAATTCTGAGATGCAATATGCACAATATTTGTACATATTGATAAGCTTCCCTCTCAATTCTCTCTTTTCCAGGCTAAACAGGCCATCTGAATTAGGAGACATTTTTATATATTCCCGAGATATGTGAGCCAGTGTATGTTACACAAAGCACAGACATTTCTGTCAGAAACAGACACTTGTATCTTGGGGGCCTGAAATAAAACATGCTTCTATCCCATTTTAGTTTGCAATTTTGTTCAGCAATGAAAAGTCCACCAGACATACATGTAGATGGCCAGCTGTGTAGGTGGCCTGTCATCATAATGCATTTGGCTTCTCCATCTCCTCGTTATATAAATAATAATAAAGTAAAATATTGTTTTAGGTTATTTTGAAGACTACCATGAAACTCTTTGGGGCAGGATATTGGGAATATAAAAGTATATCAAGTTGTTTAGTTTCAGTTTTTAGGTCTTTGATCACAGTTTTCTTTTGATTTTTTTTTTTTTTTTTTACCATAACAAATACACTGCAGACAGCTTGATGTATACTTTTCACTCCTGCATTTTTCATATGAAGTTACTCTTGGCGAACTACATAGCAACTTCTAAGACAAAGATAAAGAATGTGAACAGCAAGTTCAGATCAATCCTTTCTTTTAGTACAAACTAAATTAATAAGTGTCTGATCTGACTACGTTAAAAAATTAATATAGTGCCTTCAGAACTAAGTATCTTTCTGTCAAATATCATTACCCTATTTAAGCTCAAGAAAGCAGCTCTGAAATATAGTTTCCATTTGACCTACATATCCTTCTTATGTTCTCATTTACTTTATATGGTATTCTACTGTATAAAGTCCCACTTGAAGGAATCCCCGCATTGCTGTTACATCACTGTCTTCTGATTAAGGAACAGCCTTAGCAAAAAGTCAGTGGTGACTGAGACACTCTATAATAAAAAGAATACTACCATTAATATTAAGTGTTATTTATGCATCTCTTTCTTACGTGAAAAACTTAAAAGAGTGACTTATCAGTTTTAATCCCTTTATCTCCTGGAGATCTTTAGGTTCCTTCACATCCACACTGCTTCATAATTCACCTGGCAATTCTCACGTGGAGCTGAGAATCTGTTTCTTACACACTTTACTGACCAAATGCAGTGTTGGTCTCTATTCAGTGTTGCTCTAGTCCCACTTCTGATTGTTTTTGCTCAGAAGCACTGTAGTTCTTCCTCCAGTGTAAATCACTAATCGCAAAGATCCCTAAATCAAATCAGTTAGCTACATTCTTCTACATAACGCAACAGAATGTAAAACCTATATAAATTTTCACACAATCACAGAATGGTTGAAGTTGGAAGGGACCTCTAGAAATCATCTAGTCTGCCCTGCCTAGCAGGGACAATTAGCTCTTCTTGTGTACAGGTTTCTGCTTGTTTAAATTCCACAGAAGGTACTAGGTAAGTAGAAGCAAAAGGTACTGTTATTACTGACCAGCTATACCGTAGATTATATTTGTCCATGTTTTTATGAGTACGACAGAGATATAATACTCTGACTGACCTTTGTTCTAACCCAAATTTGATGCCATCTGTACTTACGATGCAATCTGCCAAGCTTCCATCTTAGCCATGACAGTGAGGATTTGCAAAAGCTTTTGAGTTCTAATCTGACCTTTCCAATGAAATCATGCAAAATTTCTTTTTAAGTCAACTTTCAGGACAGTATGCATTGACCAACTAAGTATTTTACAAGGGCTAAGCAGATCATTTACAATTTACAAAGCCAAATCATTCCATGGTTCTAACTCATATAAATATCCATTACAATAAGTGAGTTAACGATTATATATATTTTTTCTACATGATTCTCTTTTACTGAAAAACGTATATAAGGCTAATATTTATTATCTAATTCAACATCCTATTAGTTAAATGACATCTTGGAAAAAAAAATCAGCTGTTTGAGTGAAACCATAGTATCCAACCAGAAGGACAATACAAAGAGGTCTCACTCAGGAAAAGGCATTTCTGAGATCTATTTAACTTGATCTAACCTATGGATTTTATTCCAGATACATATCCTCAAAACATCTACTATTGCATGTAGAATCTTGAAAAGTTTTTTTTGTCTCGGACTTGTAAGGATAACCTGTGATATAAATGACTCTGGACAGCCTCTGCTGATTACAGTGGAAAGGAGTCTAATCCAAACCCACTATAAGAATAATGAAGCGATGACTTCTTTGGGTTTTCTTTCACTTTTATATTAGAATATGTAGGTTTTTTTCTTGGCTCATACTTGACAAAAGCCACTATGAGTTTTAAACTGAAATTCTAAAATTTCAGTTTAAGTAAGCATTTTGGTAGCAAGCATGTTGATGAATCTGTAGGAATTTTCTGTGCTGTAGCCTACAAACTCGAAAAGGAAAGAACACTAGTACTGCACAACACAAAGTAACCAGTGCTACACAAAGCAACGCTATCGTACATTTGTTACACTAGTGTTACACAAAGTAACACTACGAAAATGGTACATAAAATAAAGGTGTCTTAAACTCTGTACTTGCTTTTATATGATGGTAAGCATAGCTAAATCATGTGCACTTGTCCTTGTTATAATTTTCTTTAAATACTCCTTTAAAAATTTAGATTCCGCACCAGCAATAATTTGCATTTAAACATGTAGATTGAAGTCTTCATATATGTGCATCCTATATATGAGGCACCCAACTATATATTATTTTACTATTTTATATTTAAATTTACTTTTTATTTCATTCTTTATTTCTATTAATGGATAGCCACTAAATACAGCAGCACAAATTAATAAAAAGTGTAATCACCATGTTTAGTCTATTCCAATAAATACAGTTGTTCCTGCTGCCACCTAGAGACAAGCTTAAAAAAAAAAATCACTTCCAGCCATCTGTTTAATAAGAGAATCTCAACCCGCCTGACAAATCATTTTACACCCTAAAGCAATATGGATAAGATTACCTCAACATATTCGAAGCTTCAAAGAAGAGCCCAAGTTGATAGGCTGTCAAAAGGTATTTAGGTGCTGCAACACTGAACGTAATACTCAATCCATAGTGTTTGGCATCTTCTGATGAATCCTCCGCTGGTTATTAGATGCTCAGGAAGAACTGCATCATACACAGATACCCCTTAGAAGCCCAATGAGCTGCCAAAAGTAAAAGAAAAAAATATATATGAATTTTTTATACATCTTTGCATGAGTCCCCAGAATAACTTACACTTGATGGCTGCACTATTGTTTTCATGTCTGTTTCAGACACAGCCTCACCAATCCCACAATTTTGTGTTTTAACCATTAGACTACAGAGACACATTCCCTCTCTGAAAATAAGTAAAAGGCAGTGCACCAAAATATCTTATTTTTTTCAAAGCCTGACACCTCAGGTGCTTTTGCAGACAACACTACTCAGTAACAGTACCAACCTGCAGCAACTGGCTGCGTACACATTAAAACACCATATTTGCTTACAGACCAAAGTGACCGCATGGCCAATCATGATGGTTCATTCAATACACACCGGGTTGAGCAGCTGTAGAAACAGCTCTTTGCCTGCTGGTTAGGGGAGTTTGGCAAGGGCATCTTTTCCATAGAATTTTGGGTCTATGCATCCTGCAAATTGATTCTAAACCATTATTACTGTAAGCATAGTTCGTTTTGAGCACTACTTGAATTCCTCTCACAAGAAAGCAACGTGCAATGCAAAGAGCACCGGGGCGCTCCTCGCAGGCTTTCGCAGCCCAGCCAAGGCGCGAGGCAGCGCTGGGGGGCGGTGACGCCACCATGTGGCGGCTGCACCGCAAGGCCGAGGCCGCCATTTTGTGAGGGGAAGGTGCGAAGCAGGCTGCCAACGTCGCACCACAGCCCGCGAAGAAGGGTGCGCGGTGGTCAGAAAAGGAGGGTGAAAAGCAACCTTCCCTGGGAATCCGAGAAATCCGCTCAGTGAGAGGCGGCGGTCCGAGCAGGATGGCGCGGATCAGGCGCGGCGGCACCGCCACCTCCCCCGGCTTCGCCAACGCCTCCGTTACCTCAGCGGGGCGAGACTACAGCTCCCAGCATGCTCTGGCGCCGCCCCTTCCCGCCCAGCCCGCCGCGCATGCGCCGCAGCGTTCGGCGCGCCCGGCTGTGTCCCGCGGCGGCATGGCGCGCATGCGCAGGACGGCGGCCGCGGGCGAGTTTGAAGCGGCCGCGATGGCAGCCTGGGTGTTTTGCCGCCGTCGGGGGCCGTGAGGACGGGACAGGGACGCGGGCAGCGCCGGTGCCGCCATGGCCAGGCCAACTGTTTCCCCCACGAGTGTGAAGGCGACGGTGCCTGAGGCCTTTGTTGTGCTGCGGCAGAGGATGAGGGTGGCAGAGGAAGAGGCCAGTGCCCTGGCGAGGGAGCTGGAGGCGCTCGGTGTCCCCGGGCAGAGGTGCGGAGGAAGCGGGCACGAAACGTTCCTGCCTGCAGAGCTTCGGCTTTCTTCCCTTTCCCTCACCTTGCCCTGCTTCAGTGTCCATTTGCTCCGCTGGGATTGTCCTGATGGAGTGGCAGCAGGCATGGCAGAAAACTTTCCACGAGTTTTCCTCTCCCCATCTCTAATGCATCTTTGCAATGACATGTGTGCCTTCGTGTAGTAGATCAATCTTCTCTCCTTTCCAGCCTTTTCCACTCCAAGGCCCTAGAGACACCTGCTAGCTACGCAACCGTCAGTCCTGTGCAGGCCAGGGTAGCGTTTGTGGGGGAAAACACACTGTGGAAAAACTGTGAATCCATGGTCAGTCGGATGTGCCAGTTAGAGAGCGTCGTACAGACACTGAAATTAAACATCTTCCGCCTGCAGATGGAAAAGGAACTGAATCCCAAGCATGCAGGTAGTGAATGATATTTTACTTCTTCCTAGTTTATTGTGCTTTTGTAAGTTTCTTCTGATGATAACTTTGTTTTTTTCCTCTGCTTTTCCACCTGGCAGCCCAGCTGGAGCAAAGGCTGAATGCGGTGCAGGAGGAACATTTGCAGGAAATGAAGGTTGTACAGCAAGAGGCAATGAAGTTGCGCCAGCAACTGAGTGACATGAAAGAGGCCGAAGAAAAGGGCAAAGATGTTCAAAGGCTAAGTGCTGCCCTGGAGATTAAAGCTGCAGCAAAGGTACAGAATTTGGCACATACACTGATTAGAATTTTGCTGTGTTTTTAGGATTAGCGGATTATCTGTAGTACTTTAAGTACTATGATCTCTGAAATATAGGCAGATGAAATATATGCTGTCTTAGAATTTATGAATTTGCTTGTTATTGTAAGAGAAAAGTTATTATGAGAATGAGAATCTGTGGTTCTGCCAATAAAGAAATAGACAATAATTCAAGAATAAAAGTAATTTATAATTCTCCCATTTACAGGATTTAAGTTTATTCTAGTTTTTATATGCAAAGTTCTCAATAGCTTTTCAGTTTTTCTGAGAACTTAATTTTCTCATTTTCAGTCCTACACCTCTACTGTTATGTCTCTTTCGACTTCAGTGGAATATGTCACTTAAGGTTAACTGTATTAAATAACTGGTTGCTGCTTAGCGTTTGCACTCTTCAATTCAGTGCTGCAGAACAGAGAACATCAGACTGGAGATAGAAATCAAATCCTAGGTAGATTTCAGCATGGACGTTTTATTTCTTGATACCTATTGCTTTTGACATAGTCATGAACATGATAGGACAGGATAGAACCGTTTGTTCCCTTCATCTTCTTTAGATGGGTGTAGCAATTGCAGCCGAGGAGCTGAGGAACACAAACCAGAACAGGAACTGCAGACTCCAGGATGTAAGTACAAGAGCAGAAACCTTAATAGAAGGCTGAATTTGCCCAGTATTATTTAAAGCTTTGAAGAATATCTTTACTAATAGGTGCCAATTTGAAATGTGCACAATCAGAATGTGCTTGTAACTAAATATCCCATTACTCGTGTATGATCTCAAAGTATTTGTTCAATTTACTTAATCAGGCCTGAATTAGGAGTTTGTTAGTTCTTTTCTCCCCTAGCTAATGGAACAGCTGTCCCGGGAGATCAGCCTCCGGGAATCTTTGGAGGAATCCCAAGCAACCATGATGTGTCATGTACAGGACATGGAAACAACTGTAGAAGCAGAACGGAAGCAGGTTTGCAAAACTTTTTCATTCTTCTTTTGTATTTTTTTTCCACTTTTCATTTGAAAGGAAAATTGAGAGCTTGTGTGTCCTGCCTAGAGAACAGATAAATCACTTCACAACTACTCAATGGTAATGTAGTATATATTTACAAACAAACTCATTAAACTTAATCATACGGACACCAGTTAGAAAAGATGATCTAGTTTAACTTCCTGCTTGAAGGAAGTGTCATCAGTAGCAGATTGAGTCAATGGTGGGTTTGTCTAGCAGAGTCCATAGGCTGATAGGCAAAAACCTCTTTAGGTAGTTTTTCCTTTTTTTCAAGTTAAAAAGATTTCCTGGTGCTCAATCTGAACCTCACAAACCTTACATTTGGGGTCTTTGCCCCCTGTCATATTATGTGGCGGTATTTTGTAACTACCATGATGCAATTTGACCCTGGCTTAACCTCTCGAGGCCCAGCTCGCTCAGCCTCTTCTCATAGTTCATATTTTCTGGACCTCAACCATCTCCGTAGCCCTCTTTTGTTCCCTCTCCGTTTTCTCCATCTTAAACCAAGGCTCCTGAGCCAGGGTTCACCCTTGGTGCAGAGACTTGCATGTTTCCCTATTGAACCGCACAGGGTTTTTGTGGAGCTTTTGAAGATCCAAATATATGAAGGTCTTTCTGAGTCAAAGCTCTGCTGTTCAGCATGTCAGCTGCTTCTCTGCATTCTCTAGTATCCTCTGCAAATGTGCCAAGGATAGTCCATCTCTTCATGAATGAAGTAGGTTTAAAGTTTTGAAAATAACTGACCAAGTGAGGAAATATAAGCAGTTTGAAGAGGAGTATGAAAAGAGGGAGATTATGTATACATCTGCAGCTTTATAGATATTAGTTTTACTAGTAAAAGGAAAGATAATGACTGGTTTATTTTTCTCTTTGTAGGTTGACTCACTCCTCTAGTCACAGAAAAATAAATCTTACCTAGAAGATACAAATTACACAAAGTTTAACATTCTTTTGCTACTTTCATAATGTTCTTATGCACACACATACGCATACACACAAACAAGTTACAGGCAGCCACTCTATCACTTCTGAAATCTTAGCAACAGTAAGGCCTGTTTAAATTACTAAATTACTTAGATACAAGACTGTATTAGAAATTACTACACTTTTCTTTCCTAAATCTCTTTCATCCTTTTCTGTTCTTCTACAACAGGAATGGAAAAAAATATGAATGCCCTATTGAATTTGCAAAAAGCAAAGGCTCACTTTAATTCATCTATCAGCTTCTGATCAGTTTTTGGGCTATAGCTAACCCAATGATCTATTTATAATTAATGTAAAAACAAAATTTTCCAGAAACCAGCATGAGACAGACTTGTAGAGTGCCCTGCAGATTATATTCACCTTCATCCTTTATAGCTTGACCTTTTGTGTAATCTTGAATAATGCAAACTCATTTGTTTGATTCTATCTGTCTTGTAAAGGTGATTATGAGAACGTGAACACATAGGAAAATTTAAATTTGCCATGAAAGTCTTTTGAATGGAATTTAGTTGGGGGAACATGGAAAAGAAGAGAAGCTGATCAGGCAGTTTATTTTCCAGTTGGATCAATGTTTCGGGCTCTATAATTTGCTTAGATTTGCCTCAGTGAATTCTGCATCTTGGAGAATAATAAGGGCTGTCATTGAAGGTGCAGCTATTGCAGCAGGACTGCCAGGAGTTGTATAAAGATGTGCAGCTGGCCCGAGAGATGCTGCAAGAAGAGGAGGGAAAAACTGAGCAGCTGAAGCAGCAGTGCACACAGCTGAAGGCTGAACTGGGTAAGACAGTGAGTTCTCAACATTTTCCTAACCCTGCTTTCCCAGTGAGTGGGAACAAGCAGATCATGAGTTACTGAGGTCCTACAGATTTGTGGCAGGTGTATCAGTTAACTGGTATAACAGGCAGCTTGAATTTCAGCAGGTGCTGAAATTTTAAAGGCTTCCCTTGCTTTGTGTGCAAAGTTTCTGAAGACTGTTTTTACTTGGGGTAACAAATACGCAACAGTTATGTTTCATACTGCTTATGTTTCATCAGCAAGACTGCTTGCAGAGGAGACAATCTAGCACATGATCCCTGAACTGATGTGGAAGTAGAATGCTCAGTGCTATTGAGTCTTATGATTAAAAAAATAAAAAAGTCTAGTAAACATCACATATATGAACAAGAACAATATATGTATACATATATAACATATATATGCTGGTTAAGCTTGTAGCTGATCTGATTTCAATTCTCAGTCTATTCATGTGAAAGTTGCTGCTTATGAGGGAGTTAAAGGGCATTTACCACACTTGTGTAAGAGATGCATATTTGTAAAAATTACAGGCAAACATTCCTAATCTGGCATCTGTACCTTATTCCCATATAATAATTTAAAATAACCCTACCTTAAATCCTAGCATAAATTGTTCTTCTTCCCATGATCCTTCCTTCAGGACTTACTTCCTCCTGTTCCTGCTGTTAGAGAACTGCTCCTGTGTCCCATATTTTGTGTTTGTTTTTCTGTGAACCACAGGTGGCCCAACAATTACTAACCTGCAGGACAGAAAAGGCATTTGGCATTTTTGAGTAAGCCATAGCAAGAGAAAAGAATCTTGTCATGCTATGGCAGATTTGGTTCACTGGTGAGAGGTTTGTTGATAGCAGAAAAATTCTTCAAAACATGAAGAAAACATGTCACTTGCGATGTTCAAGTGACCAATTTGAATAAGACACATGAATTCTCTTTATAAATTCTCTTTTTACATCAAATAATCCTGTTGATTAGGATTAGGGATTTTTGCCCCTTTTAGTTGAAAACATTTTTGACTGATCTTCGTAGATCATATATTGGATGTTGTAATGTTTTTGGCTAGACTCCTCTCCCTGCCCTGCTTATTTTGAATTGCCTCTTGTCTTCCATTTTAATAGTATCTCATCCAGCATAACAGAATAAGGTTGGCTTTTAGAGACAGGTGGATGCAGAATACAGCAAAAATACTGTTTTTAGATCTATATGTTATAAGCAGGAAGAGTAGAGAAATAGCTGAACAAGAAACCAGCACTCTTTGGGTAACCTGATTTGCTCAAGCACTCACAAAAGTGGTGTGTGTAAAAGTGACGTAAATGCGTGCTTAACGGTAAAACTGAGAAAGAAGTTGCACTTCATTTACAGAGGAAGTGATAGCTGTGCAGTAATCTTTCTAAAATGTTCAAGTCATCAATGAAAACATTAAAGAACAGCATATTTGTATAAATCTTACCTGTTGGTGGTATATTCTATAGCTTGGCTAAACTAAAACATGAAATCAAAATATTTTAAAATTACCAGACAGATAACAAAGTGTGTTCTGACATTCTTTTCTGTTTTTTAGACTCCAAGAATTGTATAATTTTCCAGCTTGGTGAAGAAGCAAAAGTAAGTTACAAACATTTTGGGTTTTTTTGTGAAGAAAGTGTCTGTATAGAGATCTTAAACAGCTACCTGTTGGAACTCTTTCAAAGGTACTGTGTTTAAGAGGCAGAATTTTTATGTAGAAAAGTGCCACCCAGGGTACTAATTAGTAAAAATGTTTTGTTATTACTGAATTCATTTGTTATTATATTACCAACCTGCAATTGCTTTAGGAAAAAATAACCCTTACACTGTACAGAAATATCAAAGTAGTGATGTGAAAGCTTTATTTGGAAAGCCTGGAACTGACCACAAAGCACACTTGCGGCAATGCAATTTTCACATAGAAAGAAAACAAATAGATGGATTAATAAATTAACAGTATAGAAAATCAGCATCTCAGCTCGTACTAAATGGACAGAGAGATCTGCTTACAGTCTTTGTAGCATCTGTGTGTGCTGCCAGAAATAGGTTTTGAATTAGTAAGTCTCAGTGAAGATGAAGTAAAAGCTCTGCTTAATTTTGCAGTCTTGCATGTTGGGAAAGGATTCCTTGAATTGGGAATGCTACTCCCTTCTGGCAGGGAGACCTTTCAGCTTTAAAAATGTCGAGATTAATTATAGTGGAGGCAAATGAGTTCGAGCTGAGAAGGAATACAAAGTTGATCATAGTTTTCAAAGGAAAGTTAAAGAATCTGCAAAACGAGCAGTCCTTTGGTTACTACTTTAAAGTTGTATTTTGGAAAGAGGCCTGTACTGCACGAGTCACATCTAGCGCTTGCAAGAGCACAGAGCCAGGTAGCAGTAGCTTAAAGGAACTGGTAAGTATAAGACAAAGTCTTGACATGCGTGAAGCTCCTGGCTGAGTAACAGCCTATTTTAAATTGGTATTAGTGGAAATGCTTTTTTATTGCCCTTTAGAATGCACAGCTGTCCTTGAACAGACAACAAGAAGAGAATCTGCAGCTTCAGGTGAAAATAACTGCCCTGCAAGAAACTACAGAGAAAGTGCAGGTAATGAGAAGAGCTTCTTCATTTGCTTCTAAAACAGAAATAATGTATAGCAAACCAAGTGATTATAATGGGAAATAATCACATCTTCACTGGGAAGGTCAGCTCAGGAAATGAAGTTCAATGCTCTCAGGTAATAATGGCTGATAAACAACTTCCAATGAAGGAAATTTAATCTGGTGAGTAGCCATGAATTCTTAACTTTAAGGCTGGAAAGTTTTGGAAAGTAGTTAATTTAAATCAGCCTTGTTGCAGATGTTTTATTTGAAGGACAAGATGTGAAGAACTACTGCTGCTCCCACTTCTATACACCTTAAAGTACTGCCTTGATACTCCTTTGCACCTTTAGGTTCTACATCTATGTGTTTCTGGTAATGAGATAAATCTAAAGCAATTGCTTAGCCAAAATATCCTCTACCTTTGGGTCAAAAAGTTGACCTCCACGTGAAATTACTAGGATTCTTTCTCCATTTTTGCCTTCATTTAGAAACATTACTTGTCCTTTTTCTGTACTTCAGAATTAATTATTATTCTTGTTAACTTTTGCCTGCCTTCCTCCCTCCTCTTCCTCCCCCCCCCGCCCCCCCCCATAAATCACCACCCACTTAAAAACACACTTTCTTTTGACTTTTACTATGGTTAAGCAGAATAAAATCTACAAGAAATTTTAGAAGATATCTGACATCCTACTGTGCTAAAAAGTCTAAAGATGTTTGTCATCTTCCTCCTTCCTCTGTCTAATCAGGTCCTTAATGACCACTTAAGCCAGCAATGCTCAGACCTCAGTACCACGCTGCAAACTGTTGCCATGGAGAATGTTCATCTCATTTCACATCATCAGGCCACCCTTAAGGTATGTAACCTGTTACCCAGGCCAAGAAAGTTGTCTGCAACTTTCCATTAGGGAGCTGGTAAGAAAATACTATATATGGGAATATAGCAAAGTACTGTACACATAAATAGCACATATAGTGAGATAAGTTCTAAAAGGGCTGAGTTCTAAAAGGTTCTAAAATTATAAGTTGTAAAATTTACTAGGTTATCAGTTTGAAAAAGAGTTTTCTAAAAAGAAAAATAAGACTTAATGTGGTTCAAAGACTGTTATTTCAGTACCACAAATAAAAACCTGTGTTATGAAGGAGGGGAAAGAATCAAGATGCAATATAAAAATGATCTGTAAAAATAGCCTGTAAGAACCTGTGCGGAAGAGGCAAGCAGGAATTAATGGGCATTGTGCAGACTGCACATGAAAAAGCTAAATTAAACCATCAGGACTTAAATGAGTTCCATATATAAATGAGCTCCATATATAGCTACCTATTATGTATAATAAATATAAAGCTCTATCTGGGTGAAGTAGCTCTGCATTTTGACACCTATCCTTAGAAGGAGCATGTGGAGCTGCAGGGACAACACAGGAGCCTGATGATAAATTAACAGCTTTGTCAGTTCCATGCTCGTGTCCGTGTTGTTTTCATATTGGCATTAATTGCCTGGGTAATTTTTTCCCCTTTAGTCAGAGCAAGAAAAGATGACTCAGCAGCTGCAGGAGCAAGACTCCCTTCTGGACGCTGCCTGTGCTGACATTCTGGGAGAGCTGCGGAGCGTTCAGCGCGAGAGGGCTCAGCTTCAGAAAGAGCTGTGAGCAGATCTCTCATCTGCAGCCTCTTTCTTCTCCAACTTCTGTTGCGGGCTTGCCACCTTGTATTCTGCTTCTCTAATACTTGTTACTTATTAATACAAAAGGTTTAGTATCTCATATGAAGGCCACTCTCTGTTCTCCGTGTACTGAGCTGGTATTCCAGCTTGGCTCTTTCTTGTCCTTAGGGAAGCCTTGCATACAAAGCATGGAAAATGCAAGCAGAAAGCAAACCTTAAGGAGGAAGCAGCAGCCACCCAGAGAAAGCTGCTGGAATGTACTGTGGCTAAACTGCAAGATGAACTGGAGACAGCTTTGCAAGAAAGGGGATCTCTGCTAGCTGAAAAGGAAGATCTTAAACAGGAGGTACATGAAACTTAGGATTTTAAACGGACAGCTTTAGGATCCACTTTCCGAAAATCTTCATTTTCATACTAGCTTTGCTTGTGGAAAGATGATCTATTGCTATTGCCATGGCAAAAGGAGACACGTGCTCTTGCTTTTTACTCTCTCTGTATTTTGACCTGTAATGTCTTTTTTATGGAGCATTAAAAGGGAAAGAGGACAGGACAGCTCTGCAGATACAATTTGTGAATTGCAGAGTTGACTTCTGACCTCCTGATCGGTAGTTTTATAGATACATAGAATTCCTGTGAATCTAGAAACTTTTCAGATAAATTATTTCAAATTTCTCCTCATAGATAAAAACAGCAGCAAATGAGATAACACAGGAAAGGAACAAACTGGAAGTAGAAAAAACGGAGAACGAGGTATTTTGTGTGATTGTTCTTTAAATTCAGTATTCCAGTAAGTTTTGTTTTAATTTTCTTTGTTCTGTCTATATTAGCTCTAAACAGAGTTCTAAATATCATAACCATATACTCTCTTTGATGTTTGTTACATCTCTTATGTATTTATTTATGCCTTCTGGGATAAAAATCCTACTGCTTACCTACACGAGGCCCTGTTTGTGTTAATAAGCTTGTCCTGCTCCTAATGCAACATTGATAAAAAAAAAAAAAAAAAAAATCTGCTGCTTTCAGTTACCTCTAACTGTGTAACTCCCTTGCATAGCCTGGAAAATGAAATGTAGCGTTTGTGGTATAAATGAGAAACTCCCTAGCATGGTAATATAAGCCAACACAACGGATTGACTTGGGGAATTTCTTTAATCGTTGGGGAAAGACTCTCCGAAAGAGTATAGGCTGTATCTATTTCATATATAATACTGCAGTTTTGTCAGGTGACTGTGAAAATATTGAAGCAGTATGATGATATCTATTTTTTCTCTTGATAGCTAGAAATGGCTTCAATGAAATCCTCTCTGCAGACACTAGCGGAAGAAAACAAAAGGCTGCTGAATCGCTTGGCTGCATTGGAAGACCAGCAAGTAAGCTGCTTTATAACAACAATACTCAATAAGTAACTGTGCCAGGTATCAAACTGCAGTCTGAAGTAGTCTGGATTGTATGGAAAGTGGAAGATCAAACTAGGGAATCAGAAAAGGAAATAACAAAAAGATAAAATAACTTCTTAAAAGTTTCTCTGTTTTTTAGATTTACTGACTGTAGATTTGAAACTAGCTGAGCCTCAGGTACTGGAGATTAGATATGCCATTTAAATCTTATGACTTTGTTCCTTTTTCTAGTGCTTAAATGCATCAGCAAGGAGTTAATATTGGTTTTATTTTCTACTCTGTGAACAATTTGTGCTTCAGGATCAGATTCCCTTTTTTTTTTTTTTTTTTAAACTTTGTCCTATTCAGTTATTTTTCACTACTCAGTCACCATGTTTGCTCTTTATCTCCAAACTATTTTGTCAGTCATTGGTTTAAGAACATGAATTAATATAGCATACAGATGCTACATTAATTAAGGAAATTAATCCTTTTCTCTTTTTTTTTTTTGTATTTCCTAACTGCTGTCATTCTAATTATTTTATTTTGCTTTTGTCAATGCTTTCTCATTCTTCTCTAGTTCTTTTGGCTACTGTGCTCCTTTTGTCAAGATTTATCTTTCATCTCATTTCTGCTATTTGTGCTTCTATGACATCTTTACTAATTGGAGGGATTCTTCCTGGAGATTAAGTTAGCCAGGAAGTATTTATACCTTTATAGCTCCTTTTTTTCCCCTCTCTCTCTCTTTCTCTTTTCCTGCTTTCACAGCATCTGTCTCCCTTTTTAGGCTTTCACTTAAAACAAAAAGAAAGGTGCTATAAATCAATAGTGGAAGGATTGATAAAGAAGCATAAAAGAGCATTGAAGGGCAGTTTTATGTTTGTTTGTTTTTTTTGTCTTTTTTCCCCTTTGCTCCTAGGGAATGGTGACTTGTGCTCTTGTTTCCTCAGCATGCCCAGCAGAAGGTGCAGCAGGTGCTAGCAGAGCTGACTAACAGCAAGAATAAACTGGCCTATGACAAAGGAAAACTCGAGGTACTTCACAGCACCTTTTTTACCAGATTAACAAGGTTTTCTTTTACGTTCATCTTATATAAGATTATTCAACATTAGTTCTTGACTCTTTAATTTGGAGGAAGTTCCTACTTGTTTGTGCAGTGTTGAGCACATATCAAAATCAAGTTCCATCCTGCCCATACTGCTTATTATGTTTGGGAGACAGATTAGGTCAAGATGTTATTGACAAAGTAGATGTTATTGCAAAAGACAAGTACTGACTCCAGTCAAGCTAAAGCTTTTCCATTTCCTGCTGCATCCATCTTTGCTTTACGACTAAAGTGCACATCCAGATACTAGCTAACTTCACAAATGCACAAGGCAGCCCTAGAGACCAAATACACTCAGGTACAGTAGGACTTAGAGAACTTTTTACTCCTCAGAATTATGTCCAGACTGTAACTAATGTTTAAGTACTCTTTGGAAATAATTTTTAGCACACTTTCTTGAATAAAGCAGATTCAGATTTAATATTAGCTTTAGCATCTGAATTTGCGCGTGAACACAGAATTTGATTCCAGCAAAATTAACATGAGAAGGACAGAAGTACAACTAAAACAGGCAGCAGACCCATTTTCATTCAAGTTAGACACGTATTCGGGTGGGAAAGTGTGCAATTTACAGGTTTATAAGGATTGTCCTCCTGAATTACCATTAGTTGCCCAGTAAGAAGAGCAGGGAAAAAAAGAAAGAAAAAAACACAGTTGCAGATAATATTTTTAGCTTGACTAGCTCTCTTGCTTGGATATACCTCTGATGTACTCTGCCATGAGGATGATTTGGTTTCTGAGAAGGAATGGAAGTTCCTGAAGAGTATGTACTGTTGAGAGTTTATTCTTCAGTGTCACTGAGTACATTAGTATACATCAGTAATCCGCTTGCCGTGCTGTAGAAACTAGATGCAGGACATAACTGTGTTTAGGACACTTGCCTGGAAAACAGGAGGCCCTTTCTCGGCCATCTAATCTCCTCAAAGCAGAATTAAAGTTGTGCTTGTACCTTAATTCTCCATTGTAGAAGCCAGTCCATCAAATAATCAAAGGAAACTGGGCATTGCCTTGGCAGTTAGCAGTCATGGCCTGAATCTGTCAGTTTTGGGAACAGATCTGCAGAAGCGGGGCGAGCAGCAGGAGCGGGACGGAGCTGCGCACAGAACCTGCCGGCACCACAGAGCTGTGACGCTGCCTGACATCACAGTGAGGGAATGTGGGCTCCGAAGAAGAAGCTGTCAGCATATTGCTGCTAAGGAACACGGAGAGAAATTGCAGTGCTGTGGGGAGTGTCATGGAAGAGCACTTAAAACCATGCACTTTAAGATGCTTTACTTGGGGCGAGAGATCTTCCTAATGTAATGCAAGCCTAGGGATAGGATGTAGCATCTGCTACTGTGGCTTTTACTTCTGCTGTGGTTAATATATATATATTTATATATATATATATATTTTTGTACTCACATCTTCACTGTTTCTGAGGACAGATTAGTTTTGTAGTAGAAATGGCACCAAAGAGAAAAAAATCCCCAGCAAGACCCTGGCAGCAGAAGTCTGCTGATCCCAGTGCTAGGTCAGGTGCAGGTTCAAAAGAAGGAACCGTGAAACGCACTGCTTTCCACTCTGCTTCACACCGGGTTCATTTTGAACCAGATGAACCTTCCAGAAAGTCTTCTGACCATGGAGATTGTCTTCAGCTCAGCCTGAGGATTCTGTTAGATGCTATCAAGAACATGGAGGAAAGGCTGGAGACTAAGATAGACATTCTAACGCCAAGAATATTGAAAACTGTATGGTCTGCTGCAGGTAGCAAAGGAGACTTTGATGTGGTGAGTTAAGAGCAAGAAATGCAAGTTAGAAAGAGGGTTCATTTCAATTAAATAGTTGCTGGCAGTGAATGAAGAAGTGTCTGAAAATTAACAAACACTAAAATCTATTGAGTGTTTCTTGTATGAAAGAGATGCAGGTGAAAAGTTGTGCTGACAACTGGTTTTTGACTAAAAGCTCAGCTTTATGCATCTGAGGGGACTACCTGCGGTGCCAAGAGCACATAAACACTGGAAGTTATTAATGAAACTCAGGTTTAAAATTAGGGTAAGACAAAGACTGTGTATTTAGAAGAAATTGTTTCTGTATTAAAAATCCTTGTGTACTCTTGGCACCGCCACAAGCATGCGCATTCTTAAAAAATGACAGGTAACTGCTTCTCCTGCTCCTTTGCCTGCTTGCTTGTGCTTCAGGTGGCTAACTTGCAGCGCCAGCTGGAGGCAGCAAACAATGATAACAGCAAGGTGACAGCCATGCTGGAGCATGTGGTAGCTTCTCACAGCAAGACGCAGGCAGCGCTGGAGGCAGTACAAACCGAACTGGAACACAAGGATGCTGAAATCTGCAGTCTCAGAAAAGAGAGGTAAATGGAGCTGATGTTCTTCCTGGGGTCAGTTGTGTTGGTGTTCTTCCTGTTCTGCAGTGTGCTAAAGACTGATGTAGTGGAGAAGTGGCATCTTTCCCACAGCTCTGACTAGTAAACGCTTTAGCACAAGTTTGTTTGTAAAATGCCTCTATCTTTTCCTGCAACATTGAAACATATCTGGTATCGATGAGCCACGCACACTGAAGCCTCCTGGCCAGTGCTGTGAAACGCTGCTTGTAAGAGTTCTGCTAAGTCAGGTGTGTGCATCTTGTGGGAAGCAGGCAAGAATAAACTGAATTTTAACTGCAGTGATAGGCAAAACTTCCTACAGAGAAAACAGAACCTAACTATGAGATTGCCAGCATATCAGAGGAGAGGTGCACAGAGCTGATACATTATTTGTTTACCCTATTTCCATTTTCAGGAGTCAGAGTCAACAGAAAATGCAGATATTGGAAGCAGAGCTGGAACGTTGCCAAGCCAGAGTGGCTGCCATGGGAAGCGAGCACAGCAGCCAGGTAGGGAGCCCTTTTTGCCACAGCAATAGGCAGGGCTGCTGCATCTCCAGGGCTGAGCCTGCCACCTTTTAGGTGTTTGGAAAACTGAGGTGACACATTCACATGAATGGGGGCAAAATACTCTCTCTGTGTTAGGCTGTGGAGCAGTAACTTTCCAAGTGTTGAAAGAAGCAAGTAAAGATTAAGATAAAGTTAAAACCTATCAAAAATAACATTCCTTGTGAAGTTTTTACTCTCTGCATCAGCATAGAGATTTCTGAAATATATTGAGCTTCAAAAAGGAGAGGGAACGGATGGAGGGGAGAAAAAGGGCCAGAGCTGCTTGCTTCCTTCCTTCCTAGTTTAAAAATAATTTTCTTACAGCCCAACCACCCTCACTACTGGCCAGGGCACTTTTTTCCAAGAGAACCACAATTATATGACAGGACATTCTGATCCTTCTGACCGAGCCAGCCTGTGCATCGGCTTTGTAGGGAATCCCATCTAGGTGCTGTGCCCAGAAGGATGTTTGTCACCAGGCAGTGGGTGAACAGACTCTTCCAATAAGCTGATGCCAACTGGGAAGGGAATGATGTTCCTGCCCATGCTTTTTCTTTTGAGAAAAAAAAAGTCTGATTTCTTGTTTCTGCCCAGGTGGAACCACTTCGTAAAGCACTGGAAGTTACTAGAGCAGACAACAAGAAACTTGCCCTTCGTCTGGAACAAGCTGTGCAGGCCAATAATACCCTGCAGAACAAGCTGATCCAGGCTCAGTATGACCTGAAAAGCAAAGAAGCTGAGCAGCAACAGCTGCTAGTCTGCAGGTAAGAACAAATCCAAGAGGAGAAACATAACTTTTCACTAACACCAGATCTTGGGCCTTTTCTCATCTATCAGTATCCATGCTGACTATCATGCTGCCAGCTCAGGATGTGAAGATAGAGCTACATCAATGAACTGCTTTGTCTTTTCATTTAGTTACTAATTACCTAGCTGATTACCTAGGGCTGCTGTGGCACTTGGTTAGGAAAGAGCTTGTCCGTAAGGATTGCGGGTATCACTTGCACTTTGAAGTGGCCTGTAACAGCTACAGCAAAGAGACTATAGTATAAAGAGACCATAGTTAAACAGTATAGCTGTTTAACCTCCTGATCCTGCCCCCGAACAGATGTTTAACCCCCCTGACACCACATTAAACTAAGCATCTACACACTAAAAAGTAGCTAAAACTTTAAAAGTAGTTATCAGTAAGCGTTGGTGCATCCTGAATCGCCTCATTGTCCTTGGTCCAGGCAGGCTCAGCCACCTATTTCTCTGAAGGGAAATAAGTAGTCCTAAAGTTTGAGAAAAATCTTATGTAGCCATTTGCAATCTCCTTGGAAATAGAGCATGTGAAGCCTACATATGTTTTTATCAAATCAAATTCTTAAGTGTTAGTGTTGCTAAGAGTTTAACCAAGACAAAAGAAGCATTTACAATGGAATTTTCTTTCCTATTCTAGTGGTTTCTTTTTTTAAAGAAAAGCACGTTAAGTGTACATGTGTATGATTGATGTTGCTTCTTCCCTTAAAAGGAAACAGCTAGTGGAAGAAGCTCAGACTAAGGAAAAGACATTTGCTGAACGCTTGGAGTCTTTGAAGAAGCAGTTTCACATGGAGCAAGAGGCTTCTAGAAAAGCTGCCCATCGAGAATCTGCTGAGGTGAAAAGGGAAAATACTGCACAGTGGCTTTCTGTCCAGTTTTCAAACTTTTTAAAAAAAAGCAGTTCATGACATAGTTCTCTCTCTCCTGATCTTCATGGAGTTGTGCATCGCCTGTTTACAAACAAAGTGATACCTGTGCCCTCTGTTTCTTGCCAGTGCTATTTTATCTCCCTGGCACTCCCACCATACATAAGACCAAGGCATTGATATCGGTCATTACAGCAAATTCGAAAGGATAATCTGACATATGGAAACCTCCAGGTTTCCAAGTGCAAATGTGAAAGGCAGAAATTCTCCCTTCATTTTTGGTGGCTGTATCATAAAGCTTAGCTTGACCTTAATATTACTCAGACAACAGCCAATCACCAGATGTCGCATAATCCAGACATAGAGAACCATTTTTGCACTCTCCTTATGAACAGTGTAGGAAACAAACAGATTTTTAGTTTGTGAACTCCCCTTTTCCTCTCTCTCCTAGCTCAAGAAGGCCCTTGATGAAGCATCCTCCAAACTAGGTGAAGTTTCCCGTGCAAACCGGGAGCTACGGCAGAAAGTATCGGAGCTGGAAAAGTCTGTGGCTAGCTACAAGGAAAAGCTTAAAGGCCAGAGAATTCAAGTCCGACATTGCCTGGCCTCCAAAGCTGGCAGTGCTCAGAATGCAGAGAGGATTAAGGTCTGTGCAAGTTTTTTTTCCTCCTTTTTTCTTCCTATATTAAACAGTATGTTGGATTCCCAGCTCCACTCCTTCCTCCTTATCCCCAAGCTGTACTTATAAGTCAGCCTGTTGTCTAGTTTATTGGTTTGTGGGTACAATCAGTTTAACTGGTGATTGTGGCAAAGGTTGCTTCATGTGGTGGTTATTCCCTTCCCAGTCTTCATAGTAACAGAACCTCTGGCAGCTGCTCCAGGCAGGAACCTCGGGTAACCCTACTGTCTCCTTACTCTCCATTTGCCACCGGAGCCTTGGTTCTACTAAGGCCTGCGGGGCCTTAGGAGACAGTGGAGGGGAACACTGTCAGTGGAACCTGTTTCTGCAGATGAGCCTGAGAAATTCCTGAAGTTCTGTTTTTCTTTCAACAATTTCAAGGAAATTGAATCTGAATTGAGGGAAATGGAAGCAATAAAAGAGCAGTATCAGAAGAAGAACTATGAACAGGTATGTTCTCTTCACCAGCTTCCCGAAGAGAGTGATCTGATGAAATAAGTTGTTGAAATTTCATTCCTATGTTGCCTCTAGTCACAGAACATCCAAAAATTTGTGACAGAGTTGGCAAGTTTGCAGGAGGAGATGCAAGAGTTATTGAAAAACCAACATGAAATGCAAACACGGAACAGGCAGCTAGAGACCCATCTGGAAGCAGAGAGAAGTCGAGGGCAGCAACTGGAAAACCAGTGTCAGGTAAAGTGAGCACACTATGAAAGTGTGATGAGAAAGCAGTGGTTGCAGTTTAAACAGCATCTATGGGCTTCTAGAAGGGCATGCTAACAAAACTCCATGAATCTGATATCAAAAGACACTCCTATAAACCTGTGTCTGCGCCAGAAAGGCCAAGGAGAAAAAAAATCTTATATTCACTATGGAATAACAGTATAGATCTCACAATTTAACAATCATTTTCCATGTCTTTTGCAAAAGTCTATGCTTTTTACATTTTTAAGTCAGTTTTTGAAAAGAAAGTCATTCTGTTAATTTTGCAAAATTGTAACTTTTTCCATGAAAAAAACCCCCTCAAAAATGACATTTCTCTTTCTGTCTAGAGATTGGAAGAAACAGTCAAACATCTCAAGAAAAGTAAAGAAGAAACGGAACAGAAACTAAAGGAAGCCAGCATTGAATCAGAACTGGTGAGACTATTTAACATGAGCCCTATCTATCATTGGAAGTAACGAGATACCAATTCAGGGTATGTGTGAGCCCTGAATCTGAAATTCTCCAGTGAAGAGGGAGATATACTTGCTTATTTTGAAATCTAGAGTGATGAACTGGTGTTTACAACAGAGAAAATTAACTTAAAAGGGAAAAAAAAGAAGTGGGATTATTGGAGTAGAGACAGAAAGCTCTTCTCCCCACAGCTTTCTCTATCAGGATCTATCATATTCTATCACATTATTACGGTTTCTATATGCATTACTACAGTAGCTTGGGGTGAAAATTTACTTTCGGAGCTAATTTTATATGGTATTAACCAGCACAAAGCAAAGAAATCATAGAATCATAGAATGCTTAAGGTTGGAAGGGACCTTAGAGGTCATCTAGTCCAACCCCCCTAGGGTCACCTACAGCACATGGCACAGGGCTGCATTCAAGCCGGTTTGGGAGATCTCCAGAGAGGGAGACTCTACAACCTCTCTGGGCAGCCTGTGCCAGGGCTCTGTCACCCTCACTGTCAAGAAGTGTTTTCTTAAGTTCCTGTGGAACTTTTGGTGCCTCAGCTTGTGGCTGTTTCCTCTAGTCCTGTCACTGGCCACCACTAAAAAGAGGCCGCCCCCTCCTCGTCACTGCCTCCCTTGAGGGGTCTACAGACACTGATGAGGTCCCCCCTCAGCCTTCTCTTCTCCAGGCTGAACAGGCCCAGCTCCCTCAGCCTTTCCTCACAGGGCAGATGTTCCAGGCCCCTGATCATCCTTGCAGCCCTGCGCTGGACTCCCTCCAGCAGCTCCACATCCCTCTGGTACTGGGGAGCCCAGAACTGGACACAGTACTCCAGATGTGGCCTCACCAGGGTTGTGTATAGGGGGACGATCACCTCCCTCAACCTGCTGGAGATGCTCTTCTTAATGCACCCCAGGATCCCATTGGCCTTCTTGGCCACCAGGGCACACTGCTGCCTCATGGTCATCTTGTCATCCACCATAATGCCCAGGTCCCTCTCTGCGGGGCTGCTCTCCAGCTGGTCCACCCCTAATCTGTACTGAAATGAGAAACAGAGGTGCCTCAGTCTTGCTTGCTGTTGATCCAAGTCCAAGTACTTGGATCAGCTGCCTGAAAGGGACTTTAATAGCAAAAGTAGTATTGTCCAAGTTAGTATTCTTCCCTCATCTTTCTAAGGAGTTTGTGGTATTCAACCACAACTGTGGCATTTGCCCCCTCTCTGCAACATCTCTGTATTTTGGGCTGGCTCTAGAGACCAATGTTGGCTTCTGCCGCTGCGATGAAGCCAGCGCATTGTGCGCAGGAGGAGAGGGCGCACACGGGAGAGGAGCCGCTGCGTGCTGCTCTCCCGCTCCCAGCACAGTGCCTGGCACCGGAGCTCGGCGCACGCTGCCCTCTCGCTCCGCAGCCCTAAGGACTGCTGCCTTTGCCAGATCACAGCTAACCTGGAGGAAGCTCGCCGCTGGTTCAAGGCCCGGTTTGACAGCCTGCAGCCGCAGCTCAGGCGGAACCGCCACGCCAAGACCCCTGACGAGAGCAGCTTGCAGAGGGAGGTAAAGCACGCGAGCACGTTCACCTCAAAGCAGGACCAAAGCAAGTAAGCTGAGAGGAGCATTTGGCAGTCTGGAATTCAGCTGAAGTTTTTTTTTCACAATTTTTCATGCACTGAGAAAAAACAGACCTCTCTTCCTATTCCAGTTTAGTGTGTTCCCTCATTTTTCTGCCAAGGTCCATATTTAATCAGCAAAAAACACTATGACTACATGATAGTATGTAGTCATATTTATCCAGTATGTAGCTAAGTTCTCTTGCACACCTGATGTTTTTGCTGAATCTCACTACCTGAATACTTGTATGAAAGCTAACAGCTAGTGTGTTTTCTTCCCTCCTCTGTTTCATTGTTTAACCCCCCCCCATACACACACGCCAAACTTTGTTAAAAGCCGGCTTGCCTTTGTGGTGTAGATCCCACAGCACTTCCCACTGCTGGCCGTTCTTACTCACCCTCTGCTGAGCCTTGCTGCAGGATCCGTAAGCTGCTAAACCGTTAATCTCTTCTTTGGTAGTTGCAGAGATTCTCCCAAGAGCAGATCAAGTCCTGAACTGTTGTGCCTTTTTGCAGGAGAAAAGGCGAGGCGAGCTCCCCTTCCTGGGCGGCAGAGCGAGGAGGCAGCTGAGCTGAGCTGTGCAGGAAGTGAGCTCACCTGAGCCGCGATTCCCAGCCCGGGGCCACCTGCGCTGCCATGGAGAGGAGACTCCCTGGGAGCATCTCAAGCCACAGGGAGCCGTGCGCTGACAGAGAAGACCTTTTTTAAAGGGGGAGTCAAGCAGGGGCCTTACTTGGCCTGTGATAGATCTATGTCCCCAAGACCTTGCAAATAAAAGGTGCACTGACCAGCTGCCTCACAGGAGCCTGTGCACAGGGGACCTAGGAATGCTCGTACTGTGGGCTCTGATGTGAATTAGCTTGTCCCCGCTTCACCTGTCTGACATGACAGGGCTCTGTGAGTATGAGATGAGCTTTCTAATACGATCATCTTTTGTGACTAGCAGACCTTTGTATCCTGAGACAGATATTAACAAAACCCCTATTTATAGCAAAGAAACTTTTGTTCATGTATCATTCCTACAGCCTGTAGCTGCTGACTGTATCACTTCTCTTTTAGCAACTTCACAATGAGCCTTAGCCGATGCTATCAAAACAGATCTCAGAGGGGGCTTGCAGAGGGCTCAGGTGAATTGTTGAAGATGGAGTCATACATCTGTGGCTGGATGCTGACGTGACCAGGACAGGGAGACCTGGCAGGACTGGCTGCTTTAATGACAGTTGTAATGACAGCTGATGTCTGGGTCACGAGAGAACACAGGCCTAGGGCTATTTTAAGAGCACATATGGAATTCATTAGGTTTTGACATTGTACCACACATCCTGTTACCTCTCTAGGCCTTGTAAGAATCGGTGGCATTCAGTGAACCTGTCTCTTGAAGCAGATGACGTAGGTCACAATAGGTTGAGTGCGACTGTAACATGAACAGTTTTCATTCTTGTTGTACTACCAATCAGTTCAGCCTCATGGCTTACTCCTCCCTCTGGCTCTTCTAAAACACCACTTCAGCACAGGGCTGCTGCGCTCTGCTTTGCTTTACAGTGCTGGTTGCCAACTCCTCTGTACTCGGTGGTTGCTGAGGGAGCTATACATGCTAATGTAAAAAAAATGTGTAGTGGGAAGGCTCAACTAGCTCTGGAACCTGACACATGCTGGAATGGTCATTCTCTTCTTCCAGAAAAATCTGGCTGTAAACCAAATGGCAGCAGTCTGGACTCATTTTCAGAGATCTAAACCTATCCTCTAAGGAAACAGACATGCTTAGGAACAAGGGTCTGCTAAGCAGACTGTTAAAGCTGATGCACATCTTTCATGGATCTGCTTGTCATTAAATCTTTCATGCTGTTTTGAAAAAAGGAGGCCAATGGGATATGACTAGTTAGTCCCTGTGGAGACAGCTCCTTCAGAGACCAACCAGCACATGTGCAGCAGCCACTGCAATCTGATCAAGCTGCTTAACTTAATCTGTGCATTTTACCTCCCAGGTGCCCCAAGTAGAGAGCAGTCAAGACTGTAATAGAGCTTTGCAGGGTATTAACTTGGACTGTAGAAGAGGCACAGCTAAAAACTCTTCGAGAACAGAGCTTGTGATTTAGTGTTTTTTCCTTATTAAATAACTGGCTATCATGAATGAATATTGACTGATGCTCAAGTAGGCTGTCTCACAGGACAAACCGCTGACATGTGCCAACGCAAGAGGACAAGACACTGCAAGGACGTTTGTGTGAACTGTGTGCTGCAAGGAAGCCAGCACCAACCACCCCTCTGGTTTCCTTTGGCAGGTATACATGCCACATTGTGTATATGGGGTGTGTGTGTGTGTGTGTGTGTATATATATATATATATATATATATATATAATGATGGAGTGAGATGGGTCTTTGCTCCTCCCTTGTTCAAGGATACCCTGCTGGCAGAAGGTCAATGTATTTACAGTTGCTTTGTGTATTTAAATACAAAGTCTGATTTTACAGCTGTGGTTATTAACAGCTGTAAAATACCACAGCTGTGGTTTTGTATTTACTTTGAAAGATTCTACTCCACATGCAATACAGCCTGCTGCCTTTCTTTTTTTCCTGAAAAACATACTTGTTTGGGGAATAAGGTGGAAAAAGCTAGTATGTAATTCGTTGCTGCTTATTACCACAGGACTGCAGCTGCTAGCTTTAGCACTGCCCAAAGCCCCTGGCTCCCATAAGTGAGTAAAGCAGCACTGAGTCACATGTGGAATGAAAGAGCTGGTCCAGCTGTGTCCATGTTTTGGGTTGGTTTGTCCTTGGGCTTGCTGACTGCATGCTCCCGAGTGAACACAGCACTCTGGAAGGCATCTGCCCCTTGCACTGCACTTGAAAGGACACGAGTGGCTCCTCAGAGTGTGTGCTGCACCATGAACCACTGCAGAGCGAGTGGCAGCAGCTTGGGCACGACAAAACTCATTCAAAACAGAGTATAACACAACAGACAAAGAGCATGTTATTCTTTTCTTTAAATCTTGCAGTTTCAGGAAAGTTGTAATTTGTTACTTTGCTGCCATCTGCAGGATCAGTAGTTGAGGCCTTATATTTAACATTATTTGATATCTGATTTGAGATAAAACTCTTAAGTTAAAAAGCAGTTTAGACCATCACAGACTCCTTACTTAAATCACTGACTGCAATTCAGCGAAATTATTATTGTATAGAGAGTGAGTAAATGTTATTGTAAGCCTCAGAATTTTTATTACACAGTTAAGACGGGCAGGTCAAACTGATCTCATTGAAACAGGGCAAAAGTACACATCTCATTCAACCTTCCTGAAACAGCATTCCTGCTACAAATATGAACTCCTACTTTCCAGACCTGGAACCATGGAGTGGGTCCATCATCGCGTATGAGTCCATTTCTTCCTTCTGTGTAACCATTTTATGCTTCACGGGGGTAGGGAAGGAGTCACCACCAGTGTTTATGGCTTCTTCAACAACCCCACTGGTCGCGACTTTGAACATTGCGCTTTAGGAATGATTTACAAACCGTGAAGACTGAGGCCCAGGGCTTTTAGTTCTATATACAGGACTGTACATTAACTTTGGGCAGTGCATCAAAGAAGCCAGGCAGACCTAACACTGGACCCTCACTCAATTCAAGCATGGCAAGACTGTCTTGTTTCCACATGCAATACCATTTCAGATGTCTAAAGTAGAAAACCTGCAACCAGATACAGCAGAAGTCACATCTCTGACCAGGAAGGTCTTTTCCAACCATCATGATTCTCTGGTCCCATGATTTTGAAGAAAAATCTGTACATAAAACCAATCTCCCTGGCACTGTAAAATGCAGTTAATGCAAAACAATCCTGTTCCCTGTGCCACAAACCTCATCATACAACTGCGTAAGTATAGAGCATCTTCTGCGCCATTCTTAAATTTCCACTGCTCTGATAAATAAGTGACAAGTTAAAGGCAGTATCTCTTCGCAGGTCTGTCTGATCAGCTTCTATACCCTGTAAGAATAATAATTAAAAAGTTACCTATGTAACAACTATACAACTCAAAGTATATATGAACTATAAGTAGATGACTTGCTTTCAATTAAATCAGTACCATGTTTCAATTTTATACTATCTTTGGAGTTGGATAGAAGCTGACAAATAGTATTCTTTTTGTCCTCCCTCTGAGTTTCTACCTTTTGTGAGTCACCAAAAATTAGATAATTACATACCCAAAGTATTAGCTGTAAACAAGGTAGGCAACTCATAAAACAGGAAAGTGACATCATAATTTGTGTTTGCATGTGGTGTAGTTGCATCCATCGTTGGGATGTGACATTGCATCTTTTACATGGTAAAAAGATTGCTGCTCTGAACTCCCCATCACATCAATGACTGACTGCCGTTTTCTTATTTTACTAAAGTTTTCCTGTTTTCTAAACAAATTTGTCATTTTGCTACCCATCCATGCCTGAAAATAAGCACAAATTTGCTCTCAAAACAACTTTTCAATTAGAAGCATCTGGTACACATCTATTAGAGAAAAAAAAGATGGCCCGGACATATTTAGTCAAGTTCTTGACCTACTCATAATGTTCCAGCACTCTGTTTTATAGCCATTTAAAAACAGACACTTAATACAATGTGCCATAAACTCCAAGTAAACTATATCAAATGCATATATTTTTTCAGGTGAAAGTGTTCAGCATTTTTTTGGATTCTATTTCAACCATGTATTAAATCCTTCAAAACATGGGATAATTTGAGCATCAGCTAAGACAGCTGACATCCACATTTGGACTTTTAATCACAGAGAAATCCAGTGTCAAAGGAAAGCTCAACTATGTAGATTTTATGGACTCACTTTGTTTACTGTCAAAAAATAGATAACAGTCCTGACTTTGTTCTCTGTTCGTAACTTACTTACAAAGATACAGTACCTCTAAGATGAGAGGAGGAAGTTCAAGTACTTTCTGGTAATAGTGGATGGCCAGGTGCAGTAATCCCAGCTGGTGAAGGGCACGGCCCAGGTTATAGAAAGACTCTTGACACGGTCCCCGGAGGTCCAGATAGCGGTGAAGGAAGGAGAAGCCCTGTTCACACATCAAGCACATTGTGAGTGTTCCCCTCTGGAAAGGATAAAACATACTGGCAAGAAGGTGTTACTAGCAGGTCATTTCATAAAATAAAGAACAAAATCATTAAATGAAAGTGAAAAAAAAAAATCATAAATCCTAAGTACCAGGCAAGAATCCATCTCACTTCTTTAAGCCAGTGGCTGTTTCACCGCTACGTCCACAGCAGACAGCGAAAGGGAGCTCAAACCCAGCCATTCCATTGATGTACTCTTACCAAGTTTAAAGTGGAAGCACCCTGCAGGTATGGTTTTGCTTTTACTATAAATTAAAATATACGGTAAAGCATTCAAAATACATGACTAGCAGAATCCCAAGGCAACATTTGTGGACGTACGTGCTTGGCCTCTGAGGCACCAGCAACGTGTGGGAGCAGAACAGGGAACAGGCAACAGGTACCATGGGGCCAATCACGACAGACAGGCCTAAGCCTAAGAAGAACAGGCGCTGGTGGAGCCAGCTAGCCTGGCTTCCACACTGGCTTGCTGCAAAGCAAGATGCATTTTTGTTTCTTGGACCCAGGATGCCACTGCCTACCAGCCTGGGACATTAGGGACTGCTGCTTGTTCAGCGTTTGCCCAGTGACATAAAGATGAATAGTTTTAGACCAGAGCTAGCTCCTGAGCAGAACAATGGGTGAAAAAGGGGCATGCAGAATTGTTGCAGAGTATAATTCATGTTATTTTACGTTCTGGGAGGAATGTAAAATAGGGAAAACATAATAAAACAGGAAAGGAAATAAGGAAAACTGAAGAGTTTAAGGCAGAAGAGACTAATTCAGAATGGAAAATTGAGCTTAGTTCCCATCCCACATCCTGCCCTGTGCAGTAATTTACATTTCATTTTGCCCTCTCCATGGAATGTGCCGATTCTGTTGCAAATAGAGGCCTTTCTTTCCCAAGGCAATGTCGGTAATTAGAGGAGAGAGCTCCTTCAACATGATGGATCAGTTCAGGCTGATCACCATCTTATCATCATCGTTTAGGTCACCAGTTTGTCATCGTGGCTGTGCTCCCAAGCGAGCAGAAGAACAGGACAGGATGCAAAAACACCCAGTGCAGTGAGCAAGAAGGGAGAAGGGAGAAGGCAAGGCACCCTAGTGCCTCATGTCAGAGGGTGGCATAAATAGGACATTTTTCAAGTACATAGTAAAAGGAGAAAACAGCAGCCCAGACAAGAAAGGCAGATGCTTTAGAGGCAGAAGTGGCTAGAAATAATAAAATTAGGCCACATTTTGCAAGCTCTAACTGCTTCAAAGTTTTACATAGACACAATTCTTCTCGGTTTTGAACAGCAGAAGATCTACAGCTCTTCCGTTAAAAATCAGTGAAATCTCCCATTTTTTCAGCACTCAGACTCCACACCATATTCTACCATCCGGGAGCCACCAAAATTACAGAAAATTTATAAAACCAAATTTAACAAGTTAACGTGCATTAATGAAAACTACTGAGAGCATTTATGCAGAATAGACTTCAAATATCCTACTGGGGAGCGATTACCCTGTGGTTTATCATTGGAACTGGTAGATTTAAAGAGTGGAAGGAAAAGATTTTAAAGAGCATAAAAAAGCTGAAAACTGTGGGTAGCTTCAAACAGAGCTGACAAAATCTTTACAGTGAGAATGATACACAAGCACCCAGAAAACAAAAAAAAAAAAGGAAGATAGAAAAAAAAAACTTTGAAATCTGAAGTTTAATACGCTGTTTGTGAGATATGGACAGGTGACATAGTTTCTACTTTACACCACTTTCTAGAAACAAAATAGCAAGTATAAAACAAAATAGTAAGTATAACACAATACTAGGGGGAAAGGTAGGGAAAACGCAGGCTACAGCCATCGGGATGGGAATTCCTAGTATCTGCACAAATAGCTAGCAGCTGCTGCTGGGCCATTCTACAAACACAGCAGAACCAGCTACTTCTCACATAAAGGACCGGAGATCTTGATGCAGACAGATACTGTGCAAAATTATACTCACGTATTCACTTTCCTTGAGTTCCCTCTTTTGAAATGCGATACTCATTACTACGAGTTCTTAAGTTCTTAAATGGTTGAACCATTTAAGAACGTTGAAGCCTAACTGTCTACGCAAGATAGAGATTTCCAAAATGAGGCCCCACTGCAGGCAATACGAGCTCACCTGCACTAGAAGAGCGTGTCTTTTCAGCACGTACTTCTGAGAGGCCATGTGGATGAAGGTTAAGCCAATACAAAGGCTGTACAGGGGCTCCTCTGGCTTTGCTCGGAAGGCTTGCACATACTGCCCTGGAAACAAGCAGGTGAGAAGCAACCCCTGAGAATCTGGGAACTGGAGGGGGCAGCAGGGAGGAGAAGGAGGTGACAACCCCAATTATTCAAATTGGAAGTGTGAAGTAAGAAAAGGAGAGTTGAAGATCACTACATATGAAAAATGTTAATATAAAACAATTTTCAGCACTCCTTGGGTTCTAAAGCAAGAGTATGGGCTGTGACAGAAAAACGTGAGCAGGAAACAACTGGATACAGCAGGGAAATAAAGTCCTTGCTGTAGTTTATAATCCAGAGGTGCTGAGAATTACTGCTGCAAACACCTCTGCTTTGAAAGTCCAGCTTCATTATTTTGATTGAACTATCACTGTTCACACCAGCTGCACACAGTTTTCTCTGCCCTAGCTAGAAGAATTAAGCAGTACATTAACCATACACCCTTTGCTGATAAAAATAAGAATCAGTGTTATTTAAAAGCAAGAAGAGGTAAGTGGTGTAACAAATGATTACCTCACTAGGTAGAATCTAGGACAATACGACCCCTGGTCTGCGACTGAGGCATTTATATAGTACAGTAATAGGTACTAACTGCTGCTAGACTGCTATGAAACGTGTATGTAGACACTTTTGGGGTGTTGTTTTTTAATAAAACGTTCCCCATACTAATCACTACCTCTTGAAGCAGACTGCGTATCAGCTACTTACTGCTTCTTTTCAGTCATCATTCATGTGGAGACAAAATAGTAAAAGGTGCTAAGCTCTTCAGTATGATCCTCACGGGGCTCTGAAGCCGCCCCAATTACAGGGAGCATCTGAGTCATGATCACTGCTTCTGCATAAGCACATCAGGGTTGCTTGAAATATCTTATTGGCTTTTTATTAAAATAAAAATACTGAGATCTAGTTCTAGCAGCATACGCATTTGTATAGTCTTGACATTGCAAAAGGAGCTTTTTTCATTAAAATGTCAAGTGATCAGTCATCAGACTGAGGATAAGAGGATTCCCCCTGAAGTCAACAACAAACTCTCACTGTTCGGAACCAAGCAGTCACCCTTGACTTGCAAAAGGGAGAAGCCATTTCAGGCGCCCAGGTTTAATGCCCAGCTTTAGAGACTGTAACAGAGTCAAGCCAAACCAGCTCTCTGAAACCAGGCTCCCCTTAAACACCCTCCACAGTGCAACCTCTGAGCGTGGCAGCAAGGTAACTCCAGAGCATGAAACTGCCCCTCTCCTCTAGTTAACCATGTTCAGAGATGGTGCGGAAGGCAAAGCACAGACTCCTCACAGCACAACTGTATCATCACCTCTCACCTGCACCATCAGCAGGGCTGGATTTAAAAAGCAGAGGGTTTCTTTCACAGGCCCACTTAAACTATCCAGTGGGCTGTATTGGCTCTTTGAGACATTTTATCTCTTTCTTATTCTTTATTACTCTTAGACTTTATCTTAAAAGTTGCTTAGAAAATTTACACTTGAAACCCCAACTTTAAACTTTAAAATTGAAATGTCTGATTCATTCTTATTAGCAAAACCATTTAGCAGTGCTTTGATTTGGATACTAATTAAATCACTAATTTAACACTATGAAGCTGCCTATCATTTTTCAACATCTGAAAAAAACCAAAACAGTTTAGGGGGAAAATAATCTCTCTAAGGATAATTAAGAACATGAGAAAGATGATGTGAAAGGAATATAGAAACACCAATAGCCTTAGTGTTCTCAAATGATATTACCAAGAGCATGCTTGAAACTGCCAGACACGAATGCATTGTGCCCATTTAGGACACACAGTGCATGATTATCAGGGTTTTTCAGCATTAATCGGAGACAAAAGCGATGGTGACGGACATCCTGAGACTGCATAGTGACTTGATTGAAGATGTTCCAGAGCTGAGGCTTATTGACGTTTTCCATTACCATTATCCTACAGAACAGAAAACATAGAAGATATGAGTAAATACCACATAGCTACATGTGCAGATGTCCCATCCGTGACGGAACTTCAGTCCAGAGGAACCTGAAGTGCAGAGACATTCAAAGAGCTAATGGCAGATCTGATGCAAAGAGAGGAAAAGACAACAGAAAGTTCTGGCCAAACGAAACAGCTGATTGCATTACACGTCGTTTTGCAATCAAAGGCTAGCACAAAACCATTCCAGTTTCAACAGGCTTTTTTAAATTATTAATTTTTATTTTATTAGGAAAACCAGGAAAGCATCAGCTTCAGAAATATTTTCAGCAGCTGAACTACATCCTTGGTGGAAGTAATTACAGAACAAATTATTCTACTTTCTCAACTCCTCACCTGATATAATTGTAAGCTTTTCTGAAGTTCTTGTCCAGAATTGCAGCAGAGAGTCCAAAATATTCCAGCTCCTTGCGTTTTTGCCTATCATCATAAAATGAATAATATTCCAGTGAGGAATCCACAAGTAGCTCTGCCTCCTTGTACCGGGAGAGGTCACACAGGGAATATATAGCCTTCAGGAGGAGGTTCCACCAGTCGTCTTTTGTCAGAACACTTGTGAGAACAGCAAAAATTGCTGAAAATAAAGTCAGTAAAGCCTTTTTTTTTTTTTTTCTAATGAACAGTTTAAGTGCAGTTTGTAAAATGACAACAAAAAAAAAACTCAACAAATAAAAAAAACCCTTGAGAAGTGACAAGGTATGCATATGCACAGCTCAAGTTGTAAACATATCACAAATACACTTAATACACCAAAAAAGGTGTTTAAGAAAGCACCAGAAAGCAACATGGTCCAAACAGACTTGGATCAGTTAAACTCACAACATTAAAATGTATTTCTACTATTCCACTGAGTTATACATATATATTTGCTCTGAGAGAGATGAATATCGAACCGGATGATTTTCAAAGGCCCTTTTTAACTTATTTTTTTTTAATATAATTTTAATTGTTTTTCCTTGATTGGGGATATTTCCCTCAGGCTATATTTTCTTCATTTTTGCTGCCTTTCTTGTCCCATTAATGTGACCTGTATGTAAGATCGCAATGTTTTTGTTTCTCAGAACTAAGGAGTTAAGCTTATGGCTTTGTTTTTAATAAACATTTGTTACCTTTGGCATCACAATTTGCTGTCTCTTGGTCGTCATTGTCAGAAATTTTATCTCTTGACACCTTAATAAGATAGAGGTGTCTCTCTCCAGATTTGGAGCTGGATATCAAGCACACCTGAGCTCTGCTCATTGCTACCTAGAAACAAACACAAATATATCCAAGAACATGGAAGGCTTCACGGTCAATCCATCTGCGTTGCATTCCAAAACACTCTGCAACTTAGAAATAAAAGTAAAAACATGGTGGGGTGAACATTCCCACATGGGATTAGCTTTATTCTCCAGTACAAGCTGGGCTATGCAAAAGGAACATATAAACTCTCTAAAAAACATAAAAGACGTTTCCAGGAGTTGGAATTTCCTTGTCAAATTTTAAGTAGGTGCATATATGCTTAACAAGAGTAAGTTTCAGAAATATGCAGGTATTTAGCTACTCAAACACTGCAGCAGAGCCTGTCTCTCCCTGCCATCATATGGATACATTGGAGATCTAAACACTCCCCATAAAGAGTCCAAACCACTTATAACAAAACCACGAGCACCACTGTACGTACTGCATGAAGAAGCTAATGATTCTTTGCTCATCTGGTAACAAGCTAAAACTACCAATTGTATTTAAATAAAATTAATTTTAAAACAATTTGTTGAAATACATTATTTACATTAAGTTTGAAAAAAGTGCTCACTAGTGCAGTAGAAAAGCAGCTTAGTATTGGCAGTACGAAAAAGAGGAGTTGGAATGATCGTATTAAAAACTATGCTCAGAAATAATGTTCCATTTTGAACACAGCAGACATACACATCAATGCTACAGATCCCTAGAATTAATAAGCTCATTGCAGATCCACTAATACAATTACGAACACATTTGTATTTTGAAAGTACTACTTTTCTTGACATTTGTTCTTTATCTTAGCACAGCTGTAATGATCAACTTACCTTCAGCAGCATTGCCAGCATCGTAAGTAGAGTATCTACATAGCCATACATTTTTCCTTGGGAATACAAGAGTGTTGAACGGTGGAGCAGCAACTTTAATTCCTAGGCAACATTAAGCATGATCATTTAACTACATAGACAAAGAACGAGCTTATAAAACAAACACAATTTTAACTCTATATAGTACAAATAAGGCTGTAAAATATTCTTGGAAGTTTTAAATATCTTAGCAGTGGCCTATGAGACTGTTAAACTTCCCTGCCGTAGTTTTATACTCTTGAATTTCAGAAAGACTCTGCATAGCTCCTACCTACAGCAAAGGTCCTTCTACGAAGTGACTAGTGATGACCATGATGTAAAGTGACAGATGTCAACACCAGTCCTCAGCAGCCAAGAGGCTGCACATCTCCCAAAGCAAGCAGGTGGGAAGCGGAAATACCGATGGAACAGCCAGGGAAGAAGCTGGAGCCTCAAGGAAGCACCTCTAGAGCACAGCACCCAATCCTTCGCTGAGCTCCCAGGGCTCACCAAGCGACAGTCTCAGTTCCTGGTTCTACACAGTTGGCATCTTTTGCCACTGTGGTCTTCAGCAAAACAGTGCATCTTAATTTGGAAGTGGAGAACACCTGACTCACCTGTTGGGCAGCATTAGCATCCTGAGCCAGTGTATCTGGATCGTACATTGGTTCTAGAGCCTCCAGAGCTTTCTCAGGCCGGCCCAGCTGCTGCTGAAGTGTTGAGAGTGAGATTCTTGCATCCAAATGCAATGGGGCGAGATCAACCACTTTGGCGTAGCTCTCCGCAGCACGCTCCATGTGTCCCAAAGCCTTCAAGCACTCTAGAAATGTCATGCACAGCACAACACGTTTCAATGGCAGAAACGGGTGAAGCTAGAAAAATAGTTCACATCATAAATTTTTCAGATGGTTTTGCTAGAAATCTTACTAGTAGTTTTAGTTTTATTAGCCACCCAAAACATATATTAACAAATTCACAGTATTCAGAAATAGGCACCGAGGCCTCTATAGCATCACTTAAACAAAGCATTATTGTTTGACACAGAATAGAATGCAGAATAAATGCTGTTCCTTAAACTGAAATGAAGTATTTTTAGCTGAAGTATATTTCAAACTACATGAAAGACAACAAAATCCTCCAAGTCAGGGTTGTCACAACACACTCCCCAGTTTAGTTTGGCAAATACTAATTCTCATTTGACATGTACTGAACCTGCCAGGGATCTTAACAAGCAGGAGCTGGGAAGGCTGCACACTGTGCTACACCCCTCGGAGCATGTGCTGGCAGCCCTGCTCCTTCTCACCTGCATGCCGAAGCCAGACAACAGCCAAGTTGTACCGTTCAGAACAGACCAGCGCGCTCAAGAGAGGCAGCGCCGAGTTGTACTCTCCAACATCCAGAAATGCCTCTGCAACATCCAGATACAAGTCACCCATCTCTTCTGGATTTTGCTCCACCAGAGTGGTCAAAAGAGGCTTAAAAAACAGGAATAAAAAATAAGCTACCACTGGTGACACACACACAATTGTGGAACTAACATTTCTTTAAGATATGATCATTGGAAGTTACCTTTTTCATTCTACTTGCATTCTGAACTACACATCCTTTATCTAAAATGTTAGTTCTTATCTTTAGAGATAGAGATCTTAATTTCAAAACCCCCAAAGGACTTAAATGAGTCACTTTTCACATCCTTTTCATGTTTAAGGGATGAAAGCACCCATCAGGGCAGAGTGCAAGAAATATTTTTAGTCAAGAATACTTTTAGATTTAGCAGCTTTAGGGCTTAAAAGCAAGAAGTTCTGTCCTTCAGTATTCAAGAAGATGAAAAGACACATGCAATGTGGTCCTGGGCTTGTCACAGGACAGCAGCTGTGATTTACTGTCCTCATACTTCCACCGGAGGGGTACTTTATCGAGATAATTAGTTAATATTTATAAGGAAGGGTATTTCCACTACTGGAACCTCCACAGTTAATCTCACTCCATCAAGACTGTGAGATGCACGTTGACAAAGGAGAACCACTACATCTCTGTTGGGAAGAAATTCCCCAGCCTCCCAAAGACTTCAGTCAGACCTTCCATCTCCTGAAGGTAGGAAAAGTTCTTTGCTTGTTAGTAAGAACTTCCCTCAACTTCTGCATCAGTCTCTACTTACACTGAGCGGCTCTAGGATGTTCAAGTGAACCAAGCACACCATCAGCTTCACCGTGATGTCTATTGGGACCCCCTCTGGTATGCGGCAGCTAACTTTCTCTGCAGCTGAGAGGGAAAAGCAAACACACACACACAAAATCCCACATTTTTTCTGAACCTACATGCCGAACCCACAAGAACCTCCCCAGAGCTCCCCTGCTCTTGAGACCATATTGCTCATCCCGTTCCCGTCCACTCCTGCAGATGTTGATGCAGGCACTCCCTCTTCCCTTGCGTTGTTTCAGCTGTCAGGGAAGAAATAACTTCCTATTTTCCATGGCCCCAAGAATCTGCCCCAAAATACGGAGCATTGTAAGTTTGTATTGATTTCAACTGCAGGATCCTGCAGGATGTGCTCAGAGACCTCCTCCTCTGGAGTAAAGAGGTGCTTATTTCACAAAGCTTCACTATTACCTTCCAAATTGACATCCAATTATTGCAGATCAGAAAATGTACACAAATTCTTCATTCTCTGAGCAGATTAATGCCAAGCAGATAGTCATCATTCAACTACTCATATATGTTTTTACAAACCAACGGAAGTGGTGGCCTAGGCTAGACGTAGTAAGTTCTGAGTAAGACACAGTGTGCCCGAGGAATCTTTCCTGGATTGATCTCCATTTTGCTGCCCTTAGGAAACATTCTTGATTTTTATACGACCGCAACCTAGCTCCTGCACACATGGCCCAATCACAGACTTACATTAAATTCTAAAATTAATTACCTGTAGCACTAGATTCAGTAGCTGGATTATCTTGACAGTCAACTACTGCTTCCTGGTTTTCCTGAGCTTCAGTCACCGCTTCTGTATCTTTTTTGAACAGAAATAGGTTATTCTCAGCAACACAAGCTAAGCAAAGAGTTACTTGATTTTGAATCCATACCCTGACTAGCAGCTTACAGGTGCTAAAAACAAAAAAGGGGACAATCTTTTCAAGGACAGCAGGCCAGGAAGCACTTAAAACTTACAAAGTAGTGTTGGATGGAAGGAGAAATAAGCTTCCAGGTCACAAAAAGCTTGTGTAATATGCCCTAGATAAATTGCAACACCATGTGCTTTAATTCCTAAAGCACTATGTTCATTGCACTGTGTTCACTGCTCTCTTGTAACGTACCTGCTCCATGCAAGCAGCAAGTCGACAAAATAGTCTTCTACCTGCCTAGAGTTTGCTCTTGAAATAGGCTGAGACAACTGGCTGGTTTAATCACAGGACAGACTGCCTGTTTAAGAAGCTGACATGATCATTCTATAGCCCATCAAATCGAAACTTTCAGATGCGGTCAAGGACTCTCATGAAGCAACTTTCTCTAAGAAGGCCTACTTTGTGCAAACACAAGCTAATATCCCTAGATTTACACGCACGAAAACATTTGAGCTGGTAGTAACAGAAGTAGAACTTATGAAAAATATCAGGTCAAAGATTGAAATTCCTGACCACAGATGCCACTGAGCTCATAGATTTTTTTTTTCAAAAGCTATTAGACTGACAGAAGTACCTGGCCTCATGTGAATACTCGCTGGAATGTTTAGAACTTTAAAAGGCCTCCAGCTCTCTAGAGAGCAGTCCTTGTGCCTAATGAGTCACCAGGGCTAATTGGTCATCAGATAACATCTTATAGAAGTCGATGTCATGCCATACAACTCATTAAAACACTGAAGAATTTCAAGACAGAAATGCCTATCAATATGCATCAAAATAACCAAGAATCAAAACAGGAAGGACTATTATATATTATATGAACAACAGGATCCTACTAGGCACTTGCTAACTACTTACCTTTTTTATCCTCAATAGGACCTTTTTCTGACACTTTCTTTTCAAGTACAATTCCTGCAAAATCTGTGATAACCTAAAAAGGGAGAGAGAGAAACAATCATACACAGGAGAGTAACTTATATCATTTTGATGATTTAAAAGGATATATGGGGGAACTTCCTCATACGGGAGTTAATATGGACTGGGTTTCACAACAAACATTAGAAAAATCAAGCTGCTTTTGTTTCCCAGGCGTTAGTATTTAAGCTTTTTAGCTTTTAGAATGCCTCTTGGCAGGTGCAAAAAGCAAGCAAAGCACCAGCAGGCAGCTACGTTCTCCACAAATCCTCCCAAAGTGCTCCAAGGACTCTAGTGAATTTCTTAGGTAAACACAGTTTTACAAGGAAGCTCTATGGTCTATTTCAACTAAAAAGGGCAACGTACAGTCAGATATTCTACATCAGTCTTTGTTACACATCATGACCTCGTTAAAACTAGTATTACTCAATAGAGCAATTAATATAAAGTAAAATTAGATAATTAAAGAGAGAACTCAGAAAGCTTTTGCCAAGTCAGGGAAAATGCATTACTGTGAAGGACTGTTGATTTAAGACCCAGTGACCTCTGCTACTTTTTGTCCATGAATTAGAAAGTTAAGTATTTCAATCACTGCTAATACCAACGTAGAATGATAAATAAACACCAAGTGACACTCAGGAGAACAAAGCAAATGACTGATATAAAGCAACTAACATCTCTGTTTACCACCTCAAATAGAGACTTAACTAGTCTCTGTTGTCCTAGCCTATAGTCTTGGAGCAAGAAACACCATCACAGGCACAGAACCGAGGGGAAGCACCAAGGGAAATAGTGGGGACAGTTGTACCTCCAAGCACTACTTTGGTAACCCTGGTACCCAAGTACTGTGCACACAGAACTGGCCATTTGATTTTCACAAAGGAGTAAGTGCAGAGAAGAACTACAGGAATTGTCTGCAGACTAAAGTTGTTTTATACTGACAGAATCAGATCTAAATGAAATCTTATGAAAAGAATGAGAAAAAAACCCTTATTATCAGCAAATAAGAACATAACCTTCAAAAAAGAGAGTCCCAGCTATTAGTGTCTCCTTAATCTGGGAAATTTATAATAAGGGTCAGATGCTAAATTCCTTCCTCTCAAAGCTAGACCAAGTCAATGAGAAACTTGCCTTAAAAATGAGGGCTTGATATTTAAAGTCTAAAATGATTAATACAAATAAAAGTAGGCCAGGTAAAGCGTTAAGGATCTAGTTTTGAACCATTAGACATTTCAGTCTTTTTTTTTTCTTTTTTTTTAAAACATTCACCTCAGAAAGCACTTGGTGCTGGTGGTACAACAGACACACAGATACTACTTGCAGGTCTTCTCCAGCTACTTAGATCATGGCAATGACAGAGGAGGGCAAAGGACTCTAAACCTTTCCACCTAGCACAACACACATCCCCAATTTATTAAATCAAGCTTCTAATTTCATTGATAATTACACCAAACTAGTAGAAGGTATTCAGTATGTGATCAATTCTGTTGCTACAGGCCTACAGGAATATAAGATGTTCATCTCAATGGGCAAAGAGGTGCTGAATGCTAGACACAAACGCAGTTAGTTCTCATACCGCCAATGCTTTGTCATACTGTTTGGAAGAAATATATAGTTCAGCTGCTATGTTAACATCTTCCATGGAGACAAGGCTCTGGTGCTTGGTAAAAGCTTCTTCTACTATCTCGATAGCAGAGGTAGCATCATTGGCTTCATAATAACTTCTGTAAAATGCAGATAGGAGATCGTCATTATTCAAAATAACTGATACTTTGTATTTTGACTCCTAGCAAAAATATTTTCATATTTCTTCACTTTTATTTTTCTCTGCTTACTAGAAAAATTTTATTCAAGACAACGACAGGAAAGGTAAAGATAGGAAAAAAGAGGTTTTTTTTCCTTTAAACACAACTTGCAATCATTTTATACGTTAATTACCTCAAATTATTAATTTATACATTAATACATGAAATTACCACCAATATTTCCTCTACCTGTGGGCACATTACCAAGTTTTCATTACAATATCGTATCCTCTTTACTTCAAGTTTCAACAATGTATTGGATTAACCTGGTTGCAGAAAAAGCTCCCATAATATTGTAAAATACAATTCTTTGCATTTTTTTGGCAGCATCTCACAACCAAGAACACCAGCTGGTTTAATAGCTGTCACTGAAGCAGCTTTCTACAACTTATGTACAAGACAGTAAAAACTACGTTATATGACTATGTTATATAGAGTTAAGCTTTAAGCTTAAGCCTCCTCTGCTTGAGGCAAGATTCTATGACTTGACCTGCTTCTACCAACAGAAACAGGGAAAGGATAGATTTGCACTTCCTCCATGGATGAATCACAATCTAAAATATCAACTTTTTTGCCAAACAATAAGTTTAGTGGTTTAATTGAGCTATTTTATACAAACAAGTTAAGCACTTAACTTTTCTACAAAGCAAGCAGAGATGGCTCTGCAAACACGTGAAGAAGGTGGCAACAAGATTCCAGGTCTCTAAGTGATATTATGCAGAAATAAACATGTGTCACAGTCCTATACGATTTTACATCATAGCTATTCTTTCAGTAATCCGTATTTACAGTTTATTCTCTTACTCGAAAGAATACAAGACAATTCATTTATCCTGGATAACTGGCATCAAATTATGGAAAGCTCATGACAGCTGGGGATGCACATCAATGCATCTGTGTGGGTCTGTAATGTTGTAGTCTTTGATTTCAGCGGGCCTGAATCAGCTGCAAAGCTCAGCAGCAGCAGTTTTTGAGAAACTCTGGAAAACTGAATCAAAAAAGACATCATACTCCTAATTCCAACTCACTTGGCCATGTCTCTAGCCAACTGCATGAAGCGCTCTCCGTCGGAGGGAGACAGGAGGTTCAAGATCCGTCTGTAGCCGTCCATCGCCATCTTATGCTCGCCCAGCTGTTCGTACAAGCTCGATCTCTCCCACAGGTAGCGCACGTTGGTCGCGTCGTACTTCAGAGCTACGACATAGGAAAACACAGTGGTTGGTTAGCTCACAAAAAGGCAACAACGCATTCTGTACCCGTCATGCCTTGCTACCCAGCTGCCAAAGCAAACACCTGCATCTTCTGGGGACACAGACGAGCTAACAGGAAAAAGAAATGTTTACTCCCAAAGAATCCCCAAAGTATTTAATCCTGAAAGAAGTAACCCAGATTATGTAACATATATATGCTACTGGTGAAATGCAATAAACTAAGAGGCTCTTCTTCCCCCAAATCATAGCATATTTTTTAACTTGCCCACTGAATATTTATGGCCATGTTATTACACCACAAGCTTTTCATAAGAACATTCCCTATTAAAGAGATTCATTTCTCAAAATCTGAACATGAGGTACAGGAGGTACTAAAATCTTGGCAAAGTGAAGTAAATTAAATTAAAAAAAAAAAAAAACAAAAAAAACAAAGCAAAACAAAAATGAAATGATTGTCATTTAGACATTACCACCTAACATCCATTTTAAAATGTTAAAAGAGTTGCTACATTACCTTTGGTGTAGCAAAATATAGCTTGTTTAATATTGTCCTGTTCTAGTGACATTTCTGCTAATCTAACCCACTCTTCAGTGTCACTAGGATTTAAGTGAGCTGCAATCAGTTCAAACTGCAAGGACTTCTCCATATCACCCTGGTCTTCATAGATCATGGCAAGAGTGGAAAATGGCTCATGAGCAAGAGGAGCTATTATAAAATAAAAAGAACAATTAAGAATTATCATTTTGAAAACAACTTGAAAGCAAATGACTCTTCTTTCATTGAAATTATCTGAAACAGCAACATTACTCTGATACAATTATGCTAAAATGCATGAGAAATTTTCAGCTAAGCTTCCAGTTCCTTTTTGTATATAAGCTGATAGCCTTTATTTTACAAAAGCAATAAAATAAATTAAGAAAAGGCCCAGGCCACTGCAGAATTAGGGTATTTTTTTTTTATACACAAAACTAAAAAGCAAATACACTGAACTTGTTGCTAATTCCACCACACGTTTGATCACTTTCCTTGAAGATTTTTATCATCAGTGAAACCACACTGAATTTCTTGATTTACACAGCAACCTCACCCCATTCTTAAAACAAAAGATTATTAGTGCTCTAAAATACCTTGTCGAATGATTTCCATGCACATTAGAATAGCCTCCTCCCGCTCTCCTCGAGCAAATCTGATATTGGCTTCTCCCATTAGACCCCTCAAGGCACGAGGGAGTTTGCTGCGAGGTCTTTTCTCCTAAAAAGAAACAGAATAATGTTTCTATATATTTCAGTTGTGCCCAAATTCAGAAACTATTACATTTGCTTTTTACAGAGTCTGATATCAAACCGTATCAGTACTACTGATATTAAAAGAAGTCATACATTTACTAAACAAATTGAAACATTTGCTAATTTTTAGAACTCAATAAAACTGATATCCATGATAAATAAAATCTAGATGCAGAAAACTTACTATGTTTTTAAGCTAGGTACTCCTAACATGAAAATTTCTCAAACAGTGATTTGAAGGAATTTTCTTATAAGCAAAGACACAGGAAAACAACGTAAGTAATAATACCCTACACAGAACTACTTTTAGGCAAGTTCCTCAACAAGTAAATAAAACCACCCAAACTGGCATTTATTATCACAAAGTTGTTACATGAAAGTTCTGTAAAGTGTAAATACTTGCTTTCATCATTTTCTTGGTCTCTCGATTAAGTACCATCTCCAACACAAAAACATCTCCAGCTGTGGGTTGCTCAGGAGTTTCTTCTTCTTCCTCTTCCTCCTCTTCTTCCTCTTCCTCCTCATCCTCATTTTCCCCAAGCATGGATGCAAAGACACGATGGACTGATTTACTGACGCCATCTGAAGTTTCTCCTGGTTGAAAAAAGAGCAGAAAAGGTTTGCAATATAATCATAAGTGCATACTATTTTATCAGGACAAGTGCAGGGAAAATGAGTTCTTCAGAATTAATAGTCCATTGGGAACAGCACTTCCTTAAGAAAATGGCCTGCAGAAATGAAGAGCTTTCAACGGTCTCTTTGCCTAGAATACTCTGTGCTATTCATTACCAATGCTTAGTATCTCCCAGGCTCTATCATTTCTGGGATTCTTGAAATAAGAGCATGGAGGAACATACTGAACAAAGCAGCAGTTTATTCAACATATTTCCCCTCAATCCATACAAGAAGTGTATTAAGCAATTTTCAGCCACTGAACTGGCTGGCTGAAATAAAACTTTTCAGCTGAAGAGGCTAAGTGAGCAGATAATTACACTGAACAACAAAGCAGCAACTAGTTTTTAGCAGCAATTTAAAACAAGATCTTGTAACCACTCTGTCCAAGACAATAAGTACCTTTTAACTCCCGTAAATGCAAAATCCAGATTATTCACATTTCTCCAAGGAAAAAAAAACGTTTAAGAATATGATGCTATATGCTCAAAACATATGCCTGAAACATTAAAAATTAACAATTGCAACATTTTGAATTACAACCTTTCATTACTACCTTAAGCCAGAGTTATAATTGTCTACAAGTATACTTTTATGCAAAAAAGACTAAAACTCACAATTTTTAAAAGGTATCACTTGTTGAAAGGTATCAAATTCGGGAATAGTCTTCTGAAGTTTTGATAGAAGTTGACCCACAATATAAGTTTGAGACTCAAGAATGATCTATCAGGTATTGTTTATGGTAGCACACTCCTGCAAACAAGCATCTTGTTACTGCATCAGAGCTTATGCATTTGAAAGTCTTTGGAAAATATCTGATTGTTTTAATTCTTATTTAAGCATAAAGCATCTAAAGGAAAAAGAGTCTGTTTCTAATTGTAACTCTTTAAATAAAAACGAATCTTACCTATGCTTCCTTAGTTCTAAAGATTGTGCCTGACATTATTGTGTTCTCTGTACCTAGTTCAGAAATAACACTGTTGTACAAGGGTATTAGGAAAGGAGGGATTTTTCTTAGATAAAGACTATGTGCATGAAAAAGGATGTATAATGGAATACAAAGCAGAAGACAGAAGCTGGAAATAATTCTGTTACATCAGAGAGAAGAAGGGGTCAGTATTGACCTCAGAGATCCAGCTCCTACAAGATTGCTAATGTTCATTTTCTGTGTTTGTAGGATGAATTCTGGACATGCTTTTTTGCAATGAAGGTACACAGTGAGACATATTTCATTCCACATTGCCTCACATGAGGCAATTCAAGTGGTTTATTTATATATGTGTGTGTGTGAATTTTAAAGAAAAACGCAGGAGAACAATGAGAACTTGAAATAAAAATAGCAAAATGAGTCCAAGAACCAACAGCAAGAGATCAAAATCTTCAAAAACTGCATATTGCTATTTCACAGCATTGGCAATCCCATGAGAATGCACAGTTCACAGAAAAATAGCTTTTAAAAAGATGTTTGAAACAGGCTGCAGCACTCCAAGTGTTCCACTCAGTGTAGCACGCCAGGTGGAACTTGAGTTCCAAGCTCAACTTCACAAACTGAGGACCAGGATTATTAACTCCAGCATAAACTAAGTAACCAAGAAGTGCTTTTCATGCCACTTCCTGCAAGTGCAGAAAAGTAGCTAAGGTTACTTTGGAAAGAGATTTGTAGGAGATATTACCACCTCAGGTAACATCAAGCTCTGGCTGTCTGGTAAGAAAATCAGCCAGGGTGAGAAAGGTGAGAAATTACCCTTAACCTCTAAATAGGTCAAAGGATAAGGGTGGGGGACACAGAAGCAGGCAGCGCTCTATTTTCTTTCACTTTAGACGGCAGTAGAAAAAGGCAACATTCGTACAGATACTCAAAAGAATAATAATAACAAAAAAGTTGAAATCTCAGCCAAAGCAATGAGCGAAGACATGAAGAGGGGAAAACAAAGCAAAACAATGTTAGAGGACTTTCTGAGACAACTTTAAAAAGTCAAAATGTATTTTTAACTTCAGAGAGGAAAGAAGAACAGACCATATGGTTGAGATATCAGGAGGGGAACAGACGGAGAATTTCCCTGCAAAAGATGACTGGGACTATTTAAACCTAACTTTTTAAAGAGCACTGAACAAAATTAAAGCGTGGATATAAATCAAAATAGTCCAAAAAGAGGGATGTTCTAATAAGATGTTTAAATACCCACAAGTTCAAAGGAGCAGCCAGATACTTACGGCTAGTCAGGTATTAAAAAGCAGGTGTTTTCAATGACGTTTTAAAAACGTTACAGCAAAATCACAGTGTTGACATTTACCGTCTGTTTCATCCTGACTTTGGGATTTCCCAGATCCTTTGCCAGATGAAGATGGAGCATCTATGTCTTCTGCATTTTCCTCTGCAGATGCATTTTCACCATCCTATTAGCATCAACAATGTTAGTTATACACTTTGCAATATCACTTCTTCCCATTTCCTCAATCTTTACAACTAGGTTTTGCACTGCTAGTGAAACAGAAAAAAAAAATACATTTTTACATCAACAAAAGCAATGTTATTTAAGACATTCATATTCTCAAAGTCTTTTAGATGGTGACTATTAGTTTTAACTGAAGCAAGGAGTCTTTCACTCACTTGTCATTACAGTGAAGTAAGATGACGTGGTTAACTGGATCAGGCACAAACATAAATGCTTTCAGGTCCTGCCTTTTTAGACACAGTGTAAAATATTAAAAAAGCACTTCTTCACAAAGTAAGGTTGCCCTTAGAAGTCCCTTGTCTGTTCTCAAGGGCCAGTTTCTGCTAAACTCTCTCTTTGAAAGCCAAGATACAGAGAAAGTGGCACTCTGACAAGGGGGCAAAGTTAAATACTGCTCTCCATTCAGACAAGCACACAGGACTCCTCCTAGAAATGCAGTTTCAGCAGCCTACTTTTAAACACAAAACACGTTTCCCTCTGTTTACTCCTACCAGAAAACCATGAAGACAACCAAAAGGAGTCAGACTGGATCTCTTCCTTTGATCACACACACAAGATGATGTAAATCTGTCTACTGTTCACTACTACTGCTTCTCCACCGAAACCTGCTAGCCAGCTCCAAGCAAGCTGTGCTACCATGAACTAAAACGCTGAACTCGTCATTTTTCAAAGGTTTTTGGTGACTTTTAAAAACCAAAAAGGTTTTTCTAAAATGTAAATTAGTAATTATACAGACAGATATCATTAAAAACTAAGCAGCATGCAACAAAAGCTTACATAACTGAAAGCAGGTAGGCCACAGAATTCCTTAGATAGTCTGCAGTTTAGACAGTCAGTTGCTATTGTAAGGTAAACCCTAAAAGAAAAGCTGCAGCCTGCTGATCTGTGGTGTACAGTGAACAGACCCGGCAGGGTTCACTGCCCTGTCCCCATCCGACAGTGCGGCTCTAACCTGGAGCTCAGAGGGGAGGCAAAACGCTTCTCCCTCGTGCCTACCGACTATCCCTCTCCGGGCTCCCCCCACACGGCACCGAGGCCAGGACAGGCCGGGACAGCCCTGCCCTGTCCTGCCCGCCGCACGCACCTTCTCGTGGCTCTTGCGCTCCTCCCGCCGCCGCTCGAACTCCTCGAAGGAGATCTTGCCCTCCAGGTAGTCGATGAGCTCGGGGCTGAAGCCTGACATGGCGCCGCCGCGGCGCGCGGCAGCAGCCGAGGCCCTGCGCTAATGGCGCCCCGGCCGGCCCGCGCCCTCTCGCAGTAGCTGCGCCTGCCGCGGGCAATGAAACGCGCGTCCCTTGGCACCGCGTGGCCACAATATTCCCCCTAGTCCCGCAGGAATAAACACAAAAACGCACGAGAAGCGGCGGCACCAGCGGCCCCCGACACGCGCCGACCGTTGGGGGCGGGAGCGGCCGTTACGGGGGAGGCGCCGCGGGGCGGGAGCGGCCGTTGGGGGCGGGAGCGGCCGTTGGCGGGAGGTGCGCGGGCGGGAGCGGCCGTTGTGGCCGCTCGGGGGCGCTCCATTTCCTTGTGGTAATAACCCAGGATCGGTGTGAGGTGCGGAGGAAGGTCATAGCAAGCTGATCTCGGATGAAAGAACCTATTTTTTCTCTTTTTCTGCTTTTAAAATGTTGTAACATTCGTGGTTTGTTGTGATAAACTCAGAGGTAACATCTATTTTGAACAAGGACACTTGGTAATCAAAAAACAAAACAAAAAACCACTTTTGAAATGATCTCTTCCTGTCATTTATTCCTATTTAAACAAATACAAGTCTCCTAGACAAACCGTTGTAGCTAAACACCGCATTTGTTAACAGCATTACCAGGTAGTCAGAAAATGGGCTAGTTAGAGCAATACATCAGGTATTATAGGTAAAAACTGTGGCAGTGAGGAAGAATTTTAATTGTCAGATAACTTTTAAAAAGTCAAAGCAGTAATATTATGCTATGAGGGTTCCCGCTTCACATGAAGTTGAAGTGTTAACACCTGAAGGAGGAAACAAAAAGATATTAGACAAAAACACCCAGTACAGGACCCAACCCCCGCTAGCATTGACTGAAACACTCTGAAACTGCCTGCAGCTGGCCCCTACTTTCCAAACTATTGACAATTTGTCAGTAGAGATATTTTCATTTTCTTCTTTGAGGCTAATTAGAGACTTTTTACCATTTCCAGGCCATAGAATTTCATTTGAGTCAGTGATTGTGTAAATTACCAGTTTGTAGCAACCTAACTAGTTTCTCCTGCCCTTAGTTCTGATTTGTTTTTGCTTACATCAGGCATTGAACATTCCTGAGTGTTGCATGTGGCATAATACAAAGAAATACTCAGAAATTTAGCAATTTCACTATTTTTTTTAATTGAATATTCTAAGCAAACAGTCTTTGTTGGCTGTTAGGTCTGCTTGGGCTAAATTTAAAATTCAGCATATCTGAAACGCAATTCTGAGGGCAGAAGAGACCACCATGATTATCCTGAATTTTGAGCTACAGCATCACTTTAAAAACTACTTCTAATCAGTCATGCACAATACTGATAGTCCAATTCAGTTTTCTTTTTTCCCAGACACAAAAACACATGAAAAAGAGAATTAGAAATAAAATCAGAATGCAGTTTTCACTAACATCCTCAATAATAAAAAGAATTGGAATTTTGTCTGCATTATGTGTAAGAATATTGCTCTTTTGACTACAAAAGGAGATGTAGGCAGAGAACAGGACAGTGCTAAAAATCCCAGGCTGAATATAGAACAATTGCCTGTTCTCAGAGTTACCAGTATTCACTCACCTTTAGAAGGATATATGAAAGGATTTACTGCAGAATGTGGTTGTGCATAGATAAATAATAAAATAGAAAACTGGAAATACATCTGCTATAAATTCAGCCTGAGTTTATGAATAATGCAAGCTTGCTCCATCTGAATTATATATATACATTTTTCATTCTATACATAAATCTAACTTCATATTACTTCTTACTGCACAATCACCATGTCTTATTTTACAGTAGTTCCTAATAAATCTCTACTTCAGGGATATTTAAACAGTTTCAGACAAGAGTTACGGTGCACGCCATTAATTTGGTTCTCAACAACAAGTTGCTTTTTGTTTCATACAGCAATGAAAATCATTTGAACCAAATCTTTCACTTGATTACACTACAGGAAAGGGCACCCTCTTTCACCTCAGTCAGTGTTACCTCTCAGCCTTGGAAGTAACTTGGAAAAGAATTTTTCCTTTCTTCATAATCTGCAAATGCAGAAGCAACAGGATCTGAGTAGAACATGACAGGCCTTGGTCCTTCATTGTTCATAGTGAAGGTAGCGGGGAACTTTCTGAGATCAAGACCCCTGCCCGAAAAATAAGCCTGGAGCGTTCTGAAAAACTGAAGATATTTCACGTTTGAAAATACAGCATGTGCACCTCCGATTAATTATTCTTACTGAAACAAAGTAAACATAATGGCTGCTCCTGCAGGGGGTGAAGTCCTCTATTTTCATATCATAACCACTTTTCTATATCATATCACTTTTCTATATCACTTCTATATCATAAACTCGCACAAAGTAATAGACTTCTCCCCTCCGCCCCTGACTTGTATAATTCACAAAGTGTTCAGAGGCAACCAAGCACCTGCTGATAGTCTATTCTCCTCTCTGAACCAGAGGATTCAAGCAGCATTTGAAACACGTCTCTCATAAAAACCTTCCTAAGGGCAAACAATGAAAATTGATTTCAATTAAATTGCTAAAGTAGAAAGCTTTAATTAATGTTTCCTAAAACAATCTTTCTTTATAACTAATGTAAAAAAAAAGTAGGAAAATCACCAGTGCCTTGTAGATCTTGCAGATTTTCCATTATGTTACTTTCTTAGCTGTAATTAACTTTTAAATCTTCAGACACTGTTAATGATATCAGTTGCAAACTTGCATTTCTGGGAGATTGAAATGTCACCTAATGAACAATACACATTTGAGAGACACATAATAATAACTCCTTCATAAAGTGAGTTGCTTTACATACCAAAGCACGTATTTTAAAAGTAAAGCTGCTGCACAGAGATGTAAGGAGGTTACCTGTACTGCTGTACACTGAGACTGCCTCTTCAGCCAACGGTGCTGAAGGCTGCTCGTCTCGCTGCTGCAATTCACTGTACAAAGTATGCAGCTTCTAGCTTTATGTTCAACAGGCCCCACTTACATTTAACTTTAGTAGAAAAACATTCTTGTGATAGAAAACACACAAAAAGCAAGACTGTGTAAAGCTTATTTAGGTTATTTTAGACTTAGGTTATTTTTCTTGCTACTTGTCCTTACCAGGTCTCGGTTTCTAGGGTTATCTAAAGGTTTCCATTTTTCTTCTGGCTGGAAAGGAGCCCCTTTTGCCAGTCCTCTTACAGCCAATACTGTGTATACAAGCAGGAGCACCACCTTCCACATGGTGAAGCGACCAACAGGATACCTGCAGGAAGGATGAACTCTCTGTCGCTGTAACCAAAGGAAGCAAGTCTGACAATGCAGAGGACAGCAAAAAAAAACAATTTACGAGTGGCAAGGAGCATCTACCTGCTAAAGACTAAACTAATGTGTGTGCTAGCAACTTTTTCTTTCCCCGTTTTTATCCTAATGCAATGGGAAAAAGCAAATCAGAAATATATGTTTCCCACAGCAAAGCTATTTCTCAATACTGGATTTTCTTTCTAAAAGAGACTAGTTTGGCACTTGACATATAAAGCATTAACATTTGTAAATTTACCTTTATAACGATAGTACAGGTCTTTATTTTGGCTGATCAGTTAGAGCTTTATGTGCTCCAAGGCAAATGCAAAAAGATGGCTTGAGACACAGGTAGATCAAATGTTAAAACTGCATGAAATAAAAGATGTACTACACATATTAATAACTACAATAATAACATATTTTTGTATAATGCACTAGAGATGCATTGCACAAATTGAGTCTAGCAAAAAAAAAAAAAAGTATCAGATTCTCTGTTTTTTGGTCTCTTTAAAATAAAGCTTACCAGTGGTTTGGCTCTGGCTTGCCCCTTCTTGGTTAGTCTGCTTGTACTCTGTGAGCAAACTGATCTCTCCACTTATATTCTAGTGGACTATAGGTGGGTGTCAGTGACGTTAGCAGGAGTTCAAAAATACAGCAATGATTCCATCTCCATGGAATAAAGCCCCTCGAGAGTTTCATCCTTAATGCTCTCAAGACCTGTTGCTATCGAACAGTGCTGTGCAAATTCCTCCTCCTTGAGCCTTATTGCAGAAAATAGGTGGCAAGTATATAAGAAGCCTAAAACAATTCCCAACAGAGATAATAGAGCTGTATCAAAATATTATTTTTAATTAAAACATTGTACATGATATCTCTCTCCAATACGGTGACTAACAGATCATTATAACTCACTGAATGGTTTTCAAGATCAGATATGGATCATTTTTGTGATGCTGGAGAGAGAGAGAATAGTAAGGTCTATTTCAAGATCCCAAATCCTAGCATTTTAATTAAAGTTTTGTTTTTTAATCCTGAATTAATTGACAGCCAGTACCCTACTGTCAGGTTAGAAACCAAAACAAAGACTACAAGGATATTAATGTTAATTTACCTTGGCTGTATTTAATAACATTCTTATCTCAAAGCTGCTCTAACTTGCCTGTAATTTCATTATATCATTCATTATACCATTATATCATTCACATACCATTATATCATTCACATGGATAACATGGTTCACAATAGTTGAATGGACTATGAAGTATTTAACTAACCTATTCTTATGCCCTATATACATATACAATCAAGATCCTTAATCTTTTAGTGTGTACATCCTTTCCTAAGCCTGGAGCTGTTCTGGCCAGTTTGCTTTTTGAGCAAGTAACAAACAGCTAATGGAAAAATCAGCTAAATTTAGTTAAAGGCAAAGGCAAGGCTTCCTCTGCCTGAAATCTTTGATATTTCTTCGTTAATGTCAAGAGGTCTCTGATCAGCCCAGTGCTATTGTATTTCACAGTGTATTTTTGATCCAATCATGAGGACTTATACACTTACACACTGCCTCCATTAAAAGTCCCTCCATTATATTATTTCACTGAAAGTCAAATATAAATGGTACACTTTCACATTAAAATACTATTAGCTCAGTTACACCCATTAGACAAAACTACATCTTCCTCACACGACAGGAGCCAGTTTAACAAAAGATTTACCAGACAGAAATTGGTGTGCCACAGTTTGAATGTGCTTAAATTTAAACCTTAGATTTTTCTCTCAGCAGACTGCTCATACAGAAACACATTCTTACCAGATCAAATCTAGTGAATATACTAGAGAAAGTGAATATACTAATTATATAGTCAATAGGCCACAATAAGTCCTATGTATCTGAATTAAATTCTACTGAAGCTGAAAATAGTCAGAAACAATTTGCATGTTTTGTTACATGCAAGTTAATTGACAAAGTGAAAATCTTCTCGAATAAGAGACAGTTATAAATACAAATAAATTCTGTTCTGTTAAGATCATAACTAATTATGCTCTGCATAAAACAGATTTTATGCAGATGCTGCTGCATATATATCAATTAGGTTACTCACAAACATTTTGCATTTTGGTTCATATTTAATTACAATGAAAAGGCAAGTATAAAAGCTTAGAGTGAGTAGATTTTGTAACAGGCAGGCTTCGTCAGATAAGACCTTTATTGTGTGCTATTCAAGATGATGGGGGCAAGGTGGGGAGAATAAAAGTGTTCATTACATAAATTAAAGCTCTTACAAAAAAACTTTTGTTCACTGTTTTTATTTTCTACAAGTTAGAAGAAAAAAAGCACCAAACTGCTCCACACGAGTACCTGAGCAAAGACGAAAGGCAAATGTTCACACTACAGTCATTAACAGATTTGGACAAGAGATGTGCAGATAACATTCATAACACTCTACAGAGTATGACTGATAAGTGGCACTTTTAAAAAATTACCTTTTCTATTAATGCAGCCATGTTATGATAACAGACAGCAATAAACACACGTGTTTGTTTAGCACAGTATACGCTACACAGTGCGCTCATAAGTCATGCACATTTATATTAAAAATGTGAAGGATACACTGCAGACAGGTAAACCATCAAACAAAATATTGAAGTCACAATCTTGCTCCTAATTAAGTCAGTCTTGAACAAAGACAAATAGCTAAGAGCACAGTTTTGAAAGATTCTGCAAATTCAGCTTTCAATAATTCAGCAGTAGTTGGAGATAGGGATTCTCCGACTTTTCTTAGCATCTCACAAAAACAGGGCTTTGCTGAAGCTTAATACACATTGCATGAACTGTACTGAAGAATTCAATTACACATGTTCTAATAAGCATGCTGGTTTATTACAGCATTATTCAAACATTAACTGAAATGACCCTGTCAGCATCTCTATCGATCTGTAACAGTTAGCTCCACCTAAAACACCAGGTTTACACTAACTACACAAGAACTCAAAACAGGAAGAGTTAAGTAGTCAGATGAGCTGCTTGTTAAGTGATAGATTTTTCCAAAGGTTACATAGGTCTTCTTCAAAATTTAAGCCCTTTTCGTATTACAAACAAAAATATCAATGCTCCATATCTCCTGCAAGAAAACAAACAACACTCACTCACTCTCATACTCTTTTTATAGGTGTTTTGCCCAACATTATTTTGTTTTGGTGCTGGGAAAAAGTGAAAAAGTAACTAAGGAATAATATTACTAGGCCTGCACATTTTTTTTTCCGAATTCAACCTAAAGCTAGTTCTGCCCCTTTGCTGATTTTAGTACTAGCACCGTCTACACAGGAAGTCAACAATCATCACAGAACAAAGAGGAGAAAAGGTTAAGTGACTGAGGGTTTTAAAGTCTAAATTAATATAAAGAAGGAAGAAACAGAAAAGATCTCAAGTTGCATGTTTTCTGCTGAGCAAAAGCATTAGCAGAGTTGTGCCCGTCAGGTTCAACTTAGTCCTCAGTAAAAGATTATTAACTTGGATTTGCATATCAAAATAACTAAAATATTCAAATAACTACTGTGATGTGCTGACATGCAGTCATTTTGTGTACATGTCTAAACAGAGTCCAACAATAAGCTTTGAGACACAGCATCATTACTCAAGACCCAATGTGACTACTCATAGTAAAAAAACAAACTCAGAATTTGTTTTTGTTGTTGTTTTTCAATGCATAAAAGACTCCTACAGAGTGACATCGGGCAAGCCAGAGACGGCTTTCCCTATAAACTCTTCATATTAAAAATGACACCTACAGGAATCTTCTATCGTTTCAAAATAAAATTTAAGGAGTTTCAATTTTATTGGTTTTACTGGTTTTCTTTAAAGAACTGGGAAGAAAAGAACACATAAACCCATTTATAACCTTTTTGTTTATGTTTTTAAAAAAGTATTTTTCCTAAACAGTGAAGTTCACTATAGAAAAACTTCAGAGCTTAAAACCCTCCGCCAACCCCAACCTAAGCCTAAACTAACAACAACAAAAACACCCCCCCAAAACAGTTTTATTTCTCCCACTAAAGCCTATACACTGACACTGCTTAACAGTGTATCAATTGAGCTCTCATCAGAAAATGTTGTTCTTCAGTTTCTTCCAAAAAAAATAAGATTCTGGCAGACATAAAAGTTGAGACAAATCTGAGACTTTTTTTTCTTGTCAACAGAAAGAATTGACCAAACAGGGTCAACTGCAGCTTTCTGTCTTTGGTTGGTGTAATTCCAACCTGCAAATGTACTGTACTTCCCAGAAATCTGGATTCTGTAAATGCTTAATTTCTATAGATAATACTGTTGGTAAAGAGGATCTTAATTTTTCTTTTTTAATATTTTCCTCAAATCAAGTTCCTGCATGATCCACACAAATGTTTTTGGTCATTTTCCATGGGACTTCCAAAGTGAAACATAAGGCCACAGAAGTCCACAGGCTACAGTTACAGTTTATTCATCTACTGCTGTAAGGCACATATTTTTTTCCTTTAGAAAACTAAAAATTAAACATCACAGTGAAAAAACAATACTGCATTTCAATTTTGGTCTAATTTGGCTTGTCCTATCTACTTCCCCTAAACTTCTGAAAATAAATTTCCCTTGTCAGGTGCTGACATTTCAAATACATTTTCCGTCCTTAAGTGACATACACGGAAAGTATCAATGCCCCAATTAATCCCAAAATAATTGATTTAACGTTAAAGAATAAACACCAAGACACTTGTGCTTTCAGCTTGATGCTTAATACAAATCTTGAAATTATTTAAGAAGTTAGGGGAAAATGAAGTCTTTGCTGGTATTTCAGAGATACAGAACTCCAACAGAGGAAGTGCCTAGAGGAGGGAGACCGTGCGTCCCGGCACTCTTCGCTGCGAGCCCTGTGTTGCTATTACAGGGGAGGGATAACTTCCCATGGAGGCGGGAGCTGGAATGATGTGCCAGGTGCTACTATGGAAAAACACAAATATAGAAGGAAACCTGAAATCTTAACCTAAGTTAAGGTCCAAATTCCACGTGTCTGACTCAGGCAGTAAGCACATGCTTGAGGCAGGTATGTGGTTACATACCTGAACAGCTGAAGCCATGGAAGAGACTTCCTTAAGTAAAAGCTGGTACAAATATTCTCTCCAAACACTCAAATTTATTAGACAAAAGCAGCAATATCAACTAACATGATAAAAATTACACGTGTAAAATTTACACGTTTTATTTAACGTAAGCTTTAAGATAAATGAGCTGATTAAAAGCTTGGATTACATTCTTCCATAAACAAAAAATGTGTCAGAAAAATATATACATTTGTAAAAGGCTTTCAAATAAACGTCTAGAGGCTTTAAACATTATGAATACTAGCTTAAAATTCTAAGTATGTTTTTGTATGTTGTCATTCACTGGCACACCTATCCAGAGGTACAGGCCAGTAGCCTATAGCTTGGGTGACAGAATTAGATCTCCCCTTATTGGAACAGGGATGAAAGTTCTAAAACCATTTATAGTACAGCGTTGTCTTTAAAAGGTACCACAGCTATTTTCCACAAGGGAATGTAAGGAGCCAAACTTGCAAAATAAACGCCCAACATTCACTATTGAATGTTTAAAAAGAAAATGAAAATTCTTAGCCTAGCAGCTTAGTGACTTAAAACAGCAACACAACTATTGTAGAGACACTGTAATCTTCCCCTAACAAAACAATTTTAGCAAATTAGAATACTGAAGATTTGTAAAACAGTTGCTCTTTTTTTCAGTGTAGCTAATACAAAATTCTATTGAAGCTCTCATCACCATATTAAACTCGATTGACTAAACTCTTTGGAAATGTCTGCATTTGTTCACAAGCACACAGTTAACTTTATTCTGTCCTCTCCGAACTCACAGAGCAAATGTATCTGATTTCAAAAAATGGTCGAATGACTGGCAAACAAATAGAAAACTAAGTATCGACTGAGGCAATATCTTTATTTTTTAAGGCATGAATAAACTTTTTTTTTCTCTAAAAGTTGACTTTAGATGTAGCCTAATTATAGATGAGAACTTAAAATTCTTATGTCAGTCAGATAGGAAGTCTCCATTTCTTCTGCTATATATTGCAATTACTTTTCTCAGCTTTATTTTGCTGTAACTTTGCGAATGAATACTTCTGAATGAATTGTTACACATATCAATCAATTCACTCAAAAAGCAGAGTAGAACTCTAAATACTAAAAGATAGTAACTAAAAGTCCTGTTACTGTTTTTTTTTTTCTTGAGAAAAAGAAACCAGTTCTCAGAAATTCCACTATGACAATGCTGATTTTTGATGTACAAATATGCTGTACTTAAAATTAGTAATATTTGGTACTCTAGGTTCCTACCTTACTTTTTGTTCTCGTTCTAAAAAGTGGTAGAGCTAGAAGTTTATATAACAGCAGCTTCTTCTCCAAAAGGAAGAAAAATGATTGTATTTACCTGAAAAACAATTTCAGACATTTAAAAAACCCTGCCTTTTTCACTAGTGGCATCATTCCACCTCTCTTCTGATGGGATGATTAGTTCTCTGCACTTGTACTCCTCACTCTTTCCCCTTCCTCAAAATGCTTGTGCAGGGAATCTAGTTGGGAGTAGATGCCATGCTCTCAAGCAGCCGAAGTTAGACAGTCCACAAGCACTGTCTGCAAAATCCAGACATGCATCTCTGAAAACAAAACTTTCGCCTAGCAAACAGCACACAAAGCATACAAAATGGACTAAGCAATACCACTTCCTGCAACCCCAATGAAGGAATGTAACCTCTGGAAAAAGGGAGCATCAGGAAAGATGTGGGAAAGCCTGGCATTCAGAATCCAGAATCGCATCTTTCTGAAAGCATTTGTTGTATTTGTATCTCAGCATTGCAAGTCATGTAAGAATTGTTACCCAAAATTCTGTAACCTACACCAAGGAAGAACTCTCAACTATCAACCAAATACCAAGGAAGAACTCTCAACTAGAGTTCAACCAGATTCCTAGATTTAGAAAAATAATGATAGTTGAAAAAAATGTGTGTTCTTCTATGCTACTACCATTTAGTCTATTTTGCCCTGGGATATATTTTGGAAGCCTTTATCAAAACTATCTAAATTACTATATGCTGGCACTGTTAACTCTTCTTATTCTGACTATTATTTTATTCCACCTGCAGCTCCAATAGAATCATTAAGACAAACAAGTCCACATGTAGAATGAGAAGATTGGGGTGGCAAACCCACTTTAGAGAAACAATATAGTAGTAAGCAGAGAGGACCCATATAGATCCCTAGAAATCAGATCCTGCCTTCTTCACAGCCGGCCTCTTACCACTGCCTCAGTGCAGCTTTGTCACGATCCTTCACCATTTCTCAGTAGAAATTCTATTCCTCTGTGTTTGAATCTTCAGGTTAAATGGACTTCTTGATTTTAGCTACAAATATATACACACAATTCACCCATATACATATATTGTACCATACATATAGTTAGAAGGAAGGTATCAAGATACAGCTTCAGGTTCAGACAGTTATTCTGATTACAAACACTCTGCATAATCTAGTCTGTAATATAAAATGTTAAGACTAGAAGACCAGTGCAGAGATTATTGATAACAATGACACTGGTTTAAGTAACAATAATCTTGCTCAGTTAAAGCGGTTTTAATGACTTACTGATAGCTTGAACTGGTGGCTTTCTTGTGAGGAGACAGAACAAGTGCTTGCTTGATGCTTGTCCTTCATTTTGGAAGTCACTACATGAACTGATTGGTATTCCCAACCAGTTCAAATAAATCAACTCTACAAACAAGCTAGAACTGAGGCACTTCAGGCAAGAACGATGAGCTACAAGAAGTGGGTCAGGCTCTACTACTATATAAAGTACATATTTGAAATTGATCGAGTGTGAGTAGATTTCCTGTTATAACCCATATTTTGAGATAGTTGAGCTGGTCTAGTATTTCTGCACTAAGATGACAGATGCTTCAGAGATGGTGGAGACAGCGAACACAGAACCTCATCTCTACACTGAATCAACACATCATTTTAATAATAATAGATCATTTTAAGCTAATGGCTAGGGGAATTTCTTCTGTTAGCAAATGCATATCTAGGGGATAGACTTCCCTACAGACAGCTAATTTGAGCATTGTTATACGTGGCAGTCACTGTAGCATCTAGGCACTAAGATAATACTTTATACAGTGCTAATAGTAAGGGTCAGTATTTTTCACTGAAGGTGTGTCTAAACAAGGAATTTAGCATAGGCAGGGCATAAACATACAATATTGCAGCTATTCCACATGAATTCTGTGTGGACACTTACAGTAAGCCCGTGGTGTCACCATTTACCCTGCCCAGGAATAAATTTCTGCCATGTCTACTTGAACACAGCACAGCATCACAAATGCACCGCGGACTTGCTTCTATGGACGGGCAAGCCCCAACTGCAAAATTCTAGAGAAAACTGGCAATGTTTTGAAACAACATTATTGCAAATTGCTCACCACTCTGCTGTTAACCTTCCTGAATAAAAAGCTACACAGAGCATTATCATCACTCTCACAAAAAGTAAAATGTGTAAGACTTTGAATTATCCCACAAATGTTCAGTTTAAACGGATTGAACGAATCATTTCCTAGAATTAACAGTTCTGTAGAAGCAGTACATTCTAGTTTACCCAGACACAACAGTGGCAGCTTATAAGAGTAGCATAAAATGATTAAAAGTATACTTGGCTATGTAGTTTTTGCGATAGTCACAGTGTGCTTGAAACTTAGCACTTAACCAGCATATGTTAGAACTGCAAAAGGTGCAAGTTCAAAACATACACACTGTATCAGCATACTGAATTTTAAAAAAAAACTCTGTTTCAACAAAGAAGTATAGTGAAATATCAAAAGTCTCTGCAAGGCAAACAGAATATTGAGATGTTAGACAAAGATTTATGTGCTTACACACGCACATAATTCACTTTATTTTTCCCAGTCAGAAAAATAAATACCTTGAGACGTTTTCTAAGCAACATGAAACACATTCTTAAATTTTCATAAGATATTCACAGTTCCATCGTCTTTCCCAAATCATGTTAATTATTGATTATATAAATCTCGGCATTTCTTTGTTGAAAGTTGCCGTGTCTCCACTGTTCGTTTCTAGGCTGCACTGTTCTTTGTATGCAAAATCAACATTATACAATACAACACAACACATGTAGAAGAAGAGAAAAAGTGATAAAGTGGGGTACTTTGTATAAATGCATTCGCCCGAAGGCCACCATCGCAACAGACAAAGGGAGTGGAACTTTGGCTGCTATCTTCAAGAGTTTACTGTAAGATAAGATAAGAAAAAAGTGTTACCAGTTTTGTAGCCTTAGCTGCAGCACAAGATGAGCAAACAACATATTTCTCCTTATTTTAAAAATTTAGATTTCAAGGATTTGATCACTTTTAAATAGAGCAATAGGTTAAATGGTCAATACCAATTCTATAGCGAGAGTAATTACACAAAAAGGCAGACTTTTAAAAATGCTTTCAATATTCTTATGAAAAACTCCCAGGAACACTGTAAGAAGCGGTGTTTTAGAACATTTGAATTAACAGGTGCTGTGTGAAAGAATAATCAATATTATTTATTATTCATCATATTTATTGGGACACTGCCAAATCTTCTACCTGAGCAGTCACTGGCCTACTGTCTGCCAAACAAAGTGTGCAAAGTTGCTTAATTTGGCAGCACGTGCCAAGTTGCTGCATTTGGCAGAGGTTACCCTGCTGCCAATGCACTCGCAAGGGGAAGGTACAAGAACCTGACTAAAATGGTTTAACTTCCACTTTTCATTGCCACTTTCTAATTATAATTACACTAAGATATGTTAGAATTCCATAATATTTGGAGATACGTTAGAATTCCATAATATTTGGAAGGATTAATTGAATTGTAGATAAAAATTTCATCAGTAAATTATTATTTACTCAACCGATTGTTTAGATAGCAAATACTCCATCTACGTCCATATGGTACATAGAGGTAATCATTTTCCCCATGTACCTGAATCACAGGTAACTTGCATACATTTTATCTAGTCTTTCTTTTTAAGATTTAACCATATGAGTTTATGAATCCCTGTGCAGACGGAACAACTACGTATTGCATGTTATATAAAGCTTTCACACAGAAATGGAAGTAGTAGAAAGAAGCAAGAAAGAAATGGGAGATTAGGCTACACTACCTTGATTTCACTTCAGAAGTGCTTGAATTGATGAGGATTTCTAAAATGGAGACAAGGATAATAGCGGTAGATCTACATGGGTCAGGATCAAGTCTAACATTGTACCTGCAAAAAAAGTGAATTGTTTTTAAAAGCGTGTTATTTTTAAGGGGCTGCATTCTACTACAGAAATTCTGAAATCCAGATGGGGAACAAGCATATGCTGACAATACAGACACTCATATAATGTATGTGGCATCACAGCTGGATTTTGAATTGTTTATGAATCATCACTGTTCTCAACAAATCATCAGTTCTTTTAACACCCGTTTATGCCATTACACAAGAGAGCTAATACAGAAAAACTATTATAAACAACTAGAGACTGATGCTACAGTAAGGTAAATAATAAAGAGCTGAGCATTCATGATTTTGACTACCTGTTTGTTAGAAAAGTTCACATTTTTTCACATTCCCCTTAACTGCAGTTTAAGATGTTACCTGAGATTTTTTAGCCAATAAATCAAAGATGGCAAGTTGAGCAGCATAATCCATGTGAATAAACTGAGGGTTGTTACATGCATCTGAAGACTGTTGACATCTTCAGCAACTGTTCTGTTGTCACCGAGAGGCTGTGTTGCTTCTGATGCACCATCTACTGAATCCCCTTCTTTGACTGTGTGTCTAATGGCATTCTGTGAGGCTTCTTTTGAGTGCCCCGAATCCTGCAAATAAAAATCTAATTATGAAAACATGTTCTGGTTGGTAACAGTCCATGCTGGAGAAGGAGGCAGGAAAGACTAGCTTAAAAACTTTATCATATTAGCTGTAATTTAAGAAGAAAGATTGCACTTTACCCCTCAAAAAGCCATCAAAAGAAAAGCAATTTTCCTTACAAAAATAATTTATATGTGTTTGGAAGAAAAAAAAATAGAGTGAAAATACCCTGACACAATTGAAGCGATGGGAAAAGGAGTTCCAAGGAGGAGGAACAGAATAAGGATAATAAAGCATGTGGGTGAAAAATCACACATAATCATTCAGGAAAAAATTCAGAAGATAACACAAGTGGGAGTAAGATGTAAGTTGTAGGAATAACAAAATCAGACTGATGAGGAGAAAGCATATGCTTTCAGCTACAGGAGGAGAAAGAAAAAGCAACAGGTAAGAGAATAGGGAGATGACAGAAAGATAGTGGCATGCAATTAAATGTTCCTCCCCCAAATATACGGAAACCTTTCAACAACTTTTCCTGGCAGATAGCTTTTTAACTGTAAGTTTGAGAAAAATAGCAGGTAGTTATTACATCTAAAAGCATATGCAGATACTTTAGATCCTGTAAGTCAAAGCAACTGAAAAAAAAAATCAGGAGGTGACAAATATAGTTTATTAGGTGGATATGGAGTGAGACTGCAGTTAACTGTTGAAAATGCATGAAGCTTCAAAATAACATTTTAATTTGTCATCTCCTGATCAAAAGTATAGATGATTATCTGGAAATTAAATTTATTTCTTTAGATATACATATGTACACAAATATCACAAGTTAGACAGAAAAAATTTGTTCCATATGTGCTCAGAGACTAAACGTTCCTTCCTAAACACCCTTATATTTCTGCTGCAGTGAAAGAGTGAATGCAAAAAGTAACATGTAATGGAAGAAAATACTCCTGTCCAGGCTTTCACATCCATCCAGTCATTGCAGCATCTTTCAGTTTCTTTCCAACTGAGTACTACCGAGGCAAGATGTCAACAATTCTTAACATATCGGTCGCCATATAATACGGGTTTGCCATATGATTTTTGATCATTTATTCTGAAAACAAGCAGGAAATGAGCTTACCCCATCAAGCACGTTTTGTTCTGCTCTTACACTTGCATACAGTTTAATAACCTGCAAGGCAGAAAGACATTTTGACTTTTTAAAGAGTTTCTTCATATGAAAGTTGTAGCAAATTAAAAAAAAAAAAAAAAGTTTTTTGGGTCCCATTTCACAGATAGAATTTGCTGCAGAAGTGTCAGCAGAGAGAAGTCCTTTGCAGGGTAACCTTATGTTACCATTTATAACATTACATACAGATAAAAAGTATATTTATATGAATTATTATAGTGGCTATATGGTACCGTGTTGGTTTTTTGGAAGAAATACTGATAAGAACAAAATAATTCTAAAAATTAGAGAATTGTGAAAGTCCCCAATAAGCACAAAAAAGCTATTTCAATTCTGTGAGTAATAACATTTATTTTAAATAAAAAAAATGGCAAACTTTACCTTTGCTTTTAACACTGGGTTAATCCAAACAACATTTTTTAACCAAATATTGACCCCAACATTTAGTCTGTCAGTACCTTAAACACATATCGAAGATAAATAATGAGTATTGCGAATGCACCACAAGTGGTCCAGCTAACCAAAGCAAGAGACACCATCACACACACTCTTCGGGGTGTGATCAGCTTGCTATCTTTTTGCAGTACAGGAGGCCTAAAAAAGATAAAAACACACAAACTTTATTCAACACTTAGAATCAAATTTCCAAAGCTTAAAGAATGATTCTGTTTCAGGAATGACTGAGAACAATCGATTATTCTTAAATGTTGATTAACTATTGGGAAAATCAAGTTATCTAAGTGTAACATGTACAAAGGTAAGCTACCTTTTTAATACAGTTTCTCATTAGTAACTAACAAGATAGTCTTACAGCTCTGAGAACGTATGTCTAACTAATGCACTATTTTATTTGGGAACATGAAGAGCAGTTTAGTGAACGCAAAGCACTAGCAAATACAATGTTGAAATAGACGCTAAAAATGGAAGAAATGCTACTCAGGAAATATCATGTTAAGTCTTTGCAACAAATACTGAAAACAACCACAAAAGGACGGCTAGTTGATGGGAACAAGTTATTTCATTAATGACTTGTGATCATATTCCTGTGATCAAAATCCAAGTAAACATCATCTATTTTCGAATGGCTTAGAGAAAACAAATGTTGTTTTCAAGAAATTCAGGGCTAGATCAGAAGCCATGCTAGGAGAATTCCAAAATGAACTAACTAGTTCACTTGCAGGCAGGCTGCACAAAAATACTGTTGCAAAATTTGCTGCTGCCGCCCAAGACATTACCAGGGCTTTATAATAATCAAAAGCTTTAATGAAAAGAGAATAATTAAGCCAGGAAAAAAAAACTCAAAAATGTGATAAGAGTAAATTCAAAACTTAAAAGGAATCACTTCATTACTTTACTGAAGTTTCTTAGAATTTGCTGTACTTTTATAAATAAGAAGGTATGTAATGGTTTAATAAGAATATATTTATGTAAACATATTCTTTATTGAAATATATTCTTTATTATCATATTTAATAAGAATGCATGTAATGGTTTATGACACACGTGTAATACACATGTAGAATAGTGAAGAACCCAGAAAAGAGTCCATGTAGTGTGTTTTTGCTGAGTTGAGTAACCCAACTAACCTAGCGAAATAAAATTTCTCTTGGCTCAAAACTAGCCAAGGGCTGAACCAAGATGAGAACAGTCAAAAAAACTGAAATACTTAGGCCCATTATCCAATTTACTAATTTTTTCTTCTTCCAAAATGCCTTCTAGCCTTCCTTTACTGCTTTTCAACCTCCTTTCATATCTGAAGATTCATCTGTAAATATATAAAAATCTGGCATTCTTAGATATCACTTATAAAATCTATCATTCTTGAAGACTGAAATTAAAGTCCCAAAAAACTGTGTTGCACAAGCCTGTTTGTTTTGTGTCAGTCTGCATTATGGAATACAAGGAGTACTACACTGCTAGCAGTCCCTTTTCCAAATACATATTTATTTTGAGCAGCCTAGAATGAAAAGGAAATAGTTCAGGTGCTTTCTCTTCCCCAAGGTTTCTTCAAAAACTGAAAATCTTCAAGCAGACAGTGAAGGAAACAATTTTCCATTCCCTTTTGAAGATGTCCAATAAGGAATATAATGCAATCCACATATTTCATTAGCACTTAACATTAACAAATTGCGATGGCTAAAACCACATACAAATTGCATTGCCAAATTTAATCTGCCCAAGTACTTGCATTGAAACAAATAAAGAAAAAAAAAAAGTGTCTCGATCATTTAAAAGAGCATCATTATAACGATGATTTACCTTATTAGAGCTAACCATAACAAAGAGAAGAGTCTCAGAGATGAAGAGAAAAATACACCACTCCAGTATGCAATGCCTGTCCCAAAAAGAAATAGAATCAGGGACACAAGCGGGAACCATGCATCCTGACTACTCAGTACTGCAGCATCCACCTCTGGTAGTGACAGTGAATCCCATATCTCTCTAAACCAGTTAAACCTGCCAAAAACATGAAAGCAGTGTTACTTATCACCTCCAGTTGCCAATACAGTGTGATAAACATGAACTATTCTTCCTACTGCAGCCTTCCAAACAAAATCACAGTCAAAAGACCACAGTGAATACAAACAAAGTGACCTTCTTCCCCTGCAATAGTTTTCCTGAAATTTTTGATTTGGAAGCTGCTAAAAAAATACAAAAACAAAACACCCCCCAAAAGAAAACAAAACAAAAAACACCTTACAAACTTACCCCAGCAGAAACACAACAATGCTTATAATAGGGTCTACTTTGTAGGGTTTAGCTGTCCTAACGAGTTCGAGGGGAAATTCTGAACAATGGCCTAGAATCAAGAACAGAAAGCAGTAATAATTAATACTTTGTCATCAGCTTTAACAAAGAAGCTCAACAATAGAAAGTAAATTAAGACTTTAGAAGTTGACTTTAAAGCTGGATAAACTGCATTTTGTCACAAAGCATGTCTAAAAAAGCCATCCTGCAAATCTCATCTTTGTGCAAGATCGAGGTATTTTGTGCCTATCAGCAATATATTTTATTTTTTTACATGTACTTTTATGCAAACTTCTATTAATATCACAATACTGTGTAAAACACCAATCACTTACAAGGAAGGGATAGAAGAGAAAAACACTAAGTCTAACACTGCTAGAAACCATCCTTGGAGAACTGCTGACAAACAATTTTGAGGCTGAAGTGCACAGATGACAAATACAGTCCTATTTAACAGAAGAAAAAATTACCAAAGCAAAACGACCAAAGAAACTAGTCCTTAATGAAATTACTCAATCTAATTTACTGATGGAAAACAACTGTGATATGAAAGAGAGTCTAAAAAGTTACCTGTTGATATCAGTGTGTTTAATTGGCCCCCATAGGTGAGAAGAATATTAGCAACAACATAGACAGGGAGAGAACAGCCATGGAACCTTATTATCTGAAAGACAAGGATATAAGGACTTTTATATATGCATGTGGGTACAGGCACACGCACATATATTATCATCAAATAATCATTATAATGCCATTGGAAAAATCTGTTTCAAAGGATGCACATGCTTTCACATCTTGGCTCATGAGAATTTGATAATCAGGTTAAATACAGAAAACATTTAGGTCTCATAAACAGCTACCCACATGTTTTGTTCAAGGACCAAAGCATAGTTTTTTTTCCAGTCAAGAAAGAGGTGAGAAGAATACAGCATCATATTAACTGTGTTTTACTTAAATAAAAACACCAAAAGCAAAAAGCCACTGTCCAAGCAATACATGCATATAGTTACATATGTCCTTGAGCAAAGCATTTTCAGAGCTGCCATTTCACATATATTGTATTTGTCTTCCCTGCTGCTCCATTAGCCACAAAATGTCATCCAAGTATATACAGATAGCATATTCTGAAAGCTCAACATAATTAAGAATACTCTCTGTAAATGCATACATTAAAGAAACTTGTCAGTAATATTCAGCACTACTTTTAGTTGCTTGGGAACTAAATAGTTTTTAAAATCAAGGACTGCAGGCAGCTAGTCCATTTTTACTCTTACCTATGTGTAAAGGTATTCTTCATGTCTGACCAAAGAAAACTTGCTAAAAAAGGTTCTGTTTAGACTTTTTAAACTGCTGTTTCATGTCAAATATAATTTTCAAATCTGAATATATCTGATTTATCAGGCAAGTTAAAGATGACCTACATTCTCATTCCCTTACAGATATTAACTATAATTCCAAATGCTGAACAATCATTTATATCAGCTCTAAATAGAGTACTGTTCTACTATCCCAAAAGCTGAGGCCTGGGCAGGATGCCTTAAGTGGCAACATTTAACATTATATAGTGTCTTTGACAGTATCTTTACACCAGGTAGGAATTTAAGGTGGAACAGGCAGAGGAAGGGGAGAAGAGCAGAGGGAAAAACCACATAAGCACCGCCTATAGAAAAACAACATCCAGTATTAGAATGTTTACTTACTTGCCCAAGAATCTGTAAAAGTGATGTCTTCAGGATTACCTTGATAAACAAAAAACAGCAATTTGTTGAGTATTATTCTGAAAAACTGTAAGCACATTTGCAAAAGTCTTAATGTATTACAGTATAGCAATCCCACAATTTAGATGTACACCAGTTTACTAGTGACAAAAGTTAACAAAAGCAAACTATATCAAAGTTTTCTTTAAAAAATTATCCCACATGCAGTACTATTCCAACATTTGCAAAGTACTTTTATCATGCACTACACTCAAAAAACACACAAACAGCCCATGTTTACATTTGATTAGTGTTTGTTTTGATTAATTATCTACATAATTTCAAAGACTAAGGTAAAGCCAAAAAAATCACACACGAACTATAAAACACTAAAAAGCTATAAAGCACATTTGTATTACCTCATACTGACAGTCAGAGGAAGAGTAAATATTTAACACTGGAACACTGCTTTCATTTTCAGGTTGTGCACTCTGCAGTTTTGCCGAGATCTCAGTAGAAGATGGAACTCTGAAATAGCAACTTAACTGGTGACTCTTTTACTCAACACCAAAAAAGCCAAATAAATGACATTCTTCTGATTGCCCTCATGCTACGTATTGCTGCTTCTTCCTGCATAACCTACTCTTACGTACCAAAAAGACCTCAAGCATCATGCTGAAAATTTCAGACCAGAAGATGTGACTTCCGTTTTTTGGAATTCAGAACAGACTCTTAAGAAAACAGTAGATCTATTAGTAGGTATATTTATTTTGAGGAAAAGTCAGATGAGCTTCTTTGTTAACTAGGGCAGAATGATAAATGAGGGAAAGATGCAGAAGCCAAACATTTCTCTTGAAAGAGGAACAATCTCTCTTCAGAAATATCACCACCAAAGTATGGAAACCCTCTTCAAAAAGAAATAAAGTAGAACTATTAAAAATCTTACTTAGCTACAGTTATTGAGTCTTCATGTGACCAGGGTATATGAAGTCTGTAAACACTAGGTTTTCTTTCTGAGAAGAAAAATAATTCAAATTTTATCGTTAAGAACAATATGTGGCAAGTGTCTGCAAAAACTCAGTGAAGCAAACAAGCCTTTGCCATGTGCCATTTTCTTAAAACTACATCCAATCACACATGCATAGTTAGACAGATTAATAGTGTTACTTGATATACTATATATACACACACACACTATATACATACACTATCTATAAAGTATACAAAAAGTATGTATATATATAGTGTATATATACTTATATATACGATATATACACACACACACTATATATATATGCAAAGTTTGGCCTAGCTTCGCCATAAGAATTAAAAAAATGCAAATTATACAAATGTGTCACATAGACCACAGACCATTATACAGAATCTACTTAGTCAGGACAGGCATAAGAGAATTTCTGTATTTTTTAAACAAGTTCTTTAGCTTCCAATCTATCTGAGTTCATGTAGCTCAACATCAAACTTGAAGTCTCATATTTAGCACTAAAATAAAGACAATCCTAGCCAATGATCTACTCCTGAAAAATACTTTCAACATAACAATCTTGTTGAAAGTGCCAGTTTTCATGTCAGTTTGCTTCTTAGCAAAGGAATTATTTCCCTGTTTGCTTTGAATTCCTCCTCCCCAACTTCTCCTCCCCTCCAAAAAAAAGTGAAAGGTGAAAAATATTAGTAGACAGAGTTGAATAGATTATAACAGCACTGCCTAAACCACTTTACATAAGATTGAAATTTGCAGAGACAAACATCTTGAGAATTTTCAAGATTTATGATTTTCTTTGAAATAAATATACTTCTAGAGAACGTATATTTACCTTTGGGTAACTGGCAATGGCTCTCTATATAGATTTTGAAAGCTTGATATATCTAAAATAAAACAAATATATAGATACACGTATTTGCTTATGTTGTCCAAATAGTGGTTACATTAACTTAAAGTTTTAAGTAGTGGCCTTACTTGGTTAAAATGCTGGAGGCGTACATTGTAAAGTAAGCCTGTTGAATTTAGCAGAATTATCCTTGAAGAAAGCCCTGCGAAAGAACATGTTATTATCATAGGCTAAACGAAATGATTTGAGAATTACATGGAGATCTAGATGCCTCTATTTTTGTTAGCCAAAAAAAAAAAAAAAACCCAAAATTCTCCCACCCCTGGGTAAGTGGGATGTATTAAATTTAATAAAATAACCCTCCCAGACAGCTTTTGGAATTTTGAGGAAAACTTACTCCCCAAATGTTTGTACTAGTAGCTTTCCCTGAGTAAAATGATATAGAATCATAGAATCATAGAATGCCCAAGGTTGGAAGGGACCTCAGAGGTCATCGAGTCCAACCCCCCTGCTCATGCAGGGTCACCTAGAGCACGTGGCACAGGGCTGCATCCAAGCGGGTTTTAAAGATCTCCAAAGAAGGAGACTCCACAACCTCTCTGGGCAGCCTGTTCCAGTGCTTTGTCACCCTCACAGTGAAGAAATGCTTCCTTAAGTTCCTGTGGAACTTCCGATGCTTCAGTTTGAAGCCATTTCCTCTAGTCCTATCCCTGCCCACCACTGAAAAGAGGCTGCCCCCCTCCTCCTCACTGCCTCCCTTGAGGTATTTATACACGCTGATCAGGTCCCCCCTCAGCCTCCTCTTCTCCAGGCTGAACAGGCCCAGCTCCCTCAGCCTTTGCTCATAGGGCAGATGTTCCAGGCCCCTGATCATCCTCGTAGCCCTGCGCTGGACTCTCTCCAGCAGCTCCACATCCCTCTTGTCCTGGGCAGCCCAGAACTGGACACAGTACTCCAGATGTGGCCTCACCAGGGCTGAGTAGAGGGGGATGATCTCTTACCTCGACCTGCTGGAGACGCTCTTCTTAATGCATCCCAGGATCCCGTTGGCACTTGCCCCTGTTGAACCTCATGAGGTTTCTCACCACCCACTCCTCCAGTCTGTCCAGGTCCCTCTGGATGGCAGCACAGCCCTCAGGGCTATCAGCTACTCCACCCAGTTTGGTATCATCAGCAAACTTGCTGAGGGAGCACTCCAGCCCTTCTTCCAGGTCGTTAATGAATAAGTTGAACAGGACCGGACCGAGAACTGACCCCTGGGGGACACCACTAAGTACAGGCCTCCAGCTGGACTCCGCACCATTGACAACCACTCTCTGCACCCTGCCATCGAGCCAATTCCTAATCCACCTCCCCGTCCACACATCTATCCCACACCTTCGGAGCTTGCCTACGAGGATGCTGTGAGGGACAGTGTCAAAAGCCTTGCTCAAATCCAGATAGACCACATCTACCGCTCTGCCCTCATCTATCCAGCTAGTCACCCCTTCATAGAAGGTGATCAGGTTAGTCATGCAGGAYTTCCCCTTGGTGAATCCATGCTGGCTACTCCTGCCAAAAGAAAGGAGCCATGCTGGCTACTTACCAAAAGAAAAAAGATGTGTTACAGGAAGCTGCACTGTTCTGGAATCCTCTTTGAAGAATTCACAGTCCAAAGTAAACTGCAATTCAGAAGGAATGAATACACTTTGTAAGTTTAAGAGATTTAAACACTGAAATGCAACTCAGCAGATATAGTTTCACAAATGACCTATCTTCTTTTTCACTATTACCCAGAGCATTCTACATTAATTCAACTGCAAGGCATCTTTGGCACAACTACTTGAAGGTACTCATGTAAACGAAAATTAAAATTAAAATAAAATGAGATTGTGGTGAGCAAATTCCTGGATTGTGCCATAGATGCAGAAACACTGGATCTGCATTACAGAAAGGCCTGGTAGATCACCTAAGACTTTTTCCACAGTTGATGCGCTCACTCCTCTGATAGAACTAACTCTGCACAGCTCTACCATGTTATATGCAGTGTCAGACCTTGCTGAGCCACCTGTAGCACATGCTCCAGAACATATGTCAGGTGGCTTCAGATATCCACAGTGTTCTCTGCTATGCTGGATAAGAGAACTGAGTGTTCAAAAAGCTAAATATTTAGGAAATGACAATATTACAAAATCAAGGAATAAAAGCCTCCAAAAATCCCTCTATGAATTGATTTAACAACCAATGCTCTATATCTTCCTTCTAAAAGAGAATCTGAAAGTTGGGAATAATACTCTGAGAAAGAAATTTTTTAAAAAATTACCTTATTGCCAACCGTGGGTTGTACATAAATGACAATATGGGACAAAGAAGGATAATCCTCAAGTTTCAGTATTACAACCTATCAAAAAAAAAAAAAAAATTAGTGAACATATCACTTAATTCTCCCCTTGCCCACTTCCCAAATCACCTTTTGTGCCCCTTCTCTCTGAGATACAATTGCACATCTCAAAGTTGTGCTTAGAATTGGTCTATCCCTAACTATCCCTAGCTCCTCCACCAAACACTTCTCCAGCTACAAGGCACGGAACAGTGAATACCTTGACAGATGGAAGTAGCTCAGCTCTCCAGGATAAATCAATGGCTTCCAGGCTGCAAAGATACAAGTGTTTGAAAGGTTAAACATATTGATTTCGTAGGCACTGAATTATAATAGCAGATTAACATAGCAGCTTTTTTCCAGCTCCATAAAGATGCCCATGGTTACAAATTATGGACACGTGCCTACTACTCTCAGCTAAATTAGTAACTTACCAAACTCTAATCATTTCAGATGCTGCCTTTCAAATACCGCATCCAAACATTACAGATACATTTCAAGTGTTTTTGAGAAAAAAAAAAAAGCAGCAAAGCTGTAACTTTGCCCCACACAACACACAGCAGTTATTAGCCACTATATTAGATATAGTGAAAACTCTTAATAAGCCAAGACAGCAGAGACATTAAGTTAACATACAGTTTTATTAGTATCTTAAAAAAAAAAAAAAAAAAGGAGAGAGAGAGAAAAGACAAAGGAAAAAGAAAAGGCACAAGAGTATCCATTCTTCCTATATGAACACCCACAACATATCACTTGAATCAGTTTTTACTGTTGCATATATTGCAGCACTTCTCTAGTTGTGTGCAATTCAGTTAATGTTCAGTTAACACTGAACAGGACATTCATTCAGCTATTCTGATGCATGTTTTTTAGAATATCAGAATACTTTCATTTTTCTAAATAGTGTTACCTGATTGCACAGCAAAGTTCACGGCAAAACCACTGCTATTAGATAAGGTTTTATGTAGCAGTTCTGAACTAGGCTAACCTGGACCTGATGCTGATCAAAGGGCATACAAAAGCAGTAATAGGCAACTTGCCCTTGGGCCAGAGAAAAAGGAATTGTGACACGTGGCTACCAGCTGTGGGCCTCAGCACAGATAAATCTGCACTGGCTCAGTTGCACGTGGAAGCTTTTCTTGATCGAAAATGTAGATTGAATTTACTTTGAGAAGAGTTCAAAATGGTAAAGCTAAGCCAGCGAGAAAAATAGATTTTAATGACCTGATTCAAATCATCACAGTATCTTCCTCATTTCTAATTATTTTCATATGGCAACAGTTTGGGAATATTACAAAAAAATAAAGAGCAACAGAGCACAACATTCAGTGCTATTCTTCCGAAGGCTTTGAGTGCCACCTGATGTCTTCTATCACAAGAGTCTAAAGAGATTTTGATAAAGCCTATTCTTTCCCATGTTCCTCACGACAGAGAAAACTCACAAGTTATTCAGAGCAATAATTTTACTCTTCTTTCCAATCTCTTCCTTCCTAAGCTGGTATATTTTACGTGCTTCGACACCCAAATATAGCCTTATAGGATCTAGCTAAGTAAAAACAGGAAGCATTTATACTTACCACATGGATGAATTGCTGCTTACACAGCCATAAATCCAGCTATTTGTGTCCTGGAAAATCAATATCATAAGATAGTACATTACCAAGGGGTGTGTGTGTGTGTGTGTATATGTATATATATATATATATGCATATATAAATTATTTAGTCGAAGTAATTTAAGGGTTAATGCTGAAAATCTACTCCAAAACTTACACAGAGGCAAGTGACATTTTGGAACACCAGACATCAGCAATCGTTCTAGAATTCTCTGATAGTGAACTTGCTGCACTTAACTTACTTAACAAGGTGCTAAAATAGGAAGTAGACCAGCAATTTATTAGGCTGTGAGTGTAAATGGAGGTCAGTAATTTAAACTATTATTCATTAAATTGTCCTAAGACTGCAGAGAGTGTAAATTGAAACAATACAGCTTTATAAATAAACAATTTTAAAAAGTATTTTCTCACCAACATACTATTTTGACAGTAAATGTGACTGTAGGATTTTCTGTGACTTGCAAGAGGAAATGTGAAGTATTTTCCCTCAGAATCCTAAAAAGAAAAAACAAAGACCATTAGTAAAGAAAATAAACATAAAAATGCATCTAGGAAAAAAATATTACTTACATTGTATGCTGAATAGGTCCATTTGGAGGTTTTGACATTAATCCACATGAAAGCTCCTAAAAATAAATATGTTTTTACATGTCATGCTGCAGAAATTATTTTTTCTTATTTCCAAGTCTTGTCTTATCCTCAAAAAGACCCTAAGCTTTCCAAGCTTTAATCACCACAGAAACAAAACAAAACAAACAAATAAAAAAAAGAGCCACAATCACACACCCATTGATCTTGAAACAAAAGCTTCAAGAAAACAAAAAAAGATAAGAATGTGAATAATACTAGTGTAATTATAGGGTAAAGGGGCCCTTTAATGCTAAGGACACTTTAGAAACACTCTTAAATTTTGCTCTTGTCACCCTTTCAAGAAAATTGATACAGAAATCTGCATAGAAGCAAGTCAAAGATGAGCTGAATACCAGGAGTTTAAAAGATATATCTGAAGAGAAAGAATACCACAGAGAGAGGTACTAACAATGTAAATTCTCTCACAAAAAGGTTAATACTTTTCTTCTATGTAACTGAGTAAAAAGTTATCACAAGTAAGTGTCAAGAAGGTGACAGAAAGAGGAAGACACAAATATTTGGCCATTTTGGTGGTATTCTACCGGACTCATTCCAGTAGTTAATGCCTTTTTATACCAGGGCAGTAAAACCAGAGAAAAAAGTCCAGGCTTTCTTAATACTTCTATAATATTTTAACATTAGGAAAAAAGTCTGAAATAAAATGTTTTTCTTCAGCTTAGTCTACTTCAGCAGTTCTGCCCTACAAAATTGTTTAGTTTCCAGGACTCCATGCAGTCAAAATTGCTCGTCTTTATTTTAACGGTTACAAGGAAACCATCAATGTGGAGCCCATTTTATCCTGTTATGTCAGAAAAGACAGTCACTGAGGAAACAATTCTAAATAACCAGAATTTCCACAAGTTGCAAAAAAAAAAACCCCAACAAACAGACACAGTGGCTCTGCAACACCGATAAAAGCCCTCTCATAAGCAAGTGATGTAGACTTATTTTAGAGAGTATTAACTTTTTTAGCCAGCTATTCTCAATTTCTGAGATTGTTTACTGACACCTTGTTATAACTGTGACTCCTGCTTGCCTTGTGGAATCTAAGGAACATTAAAATATCATGCGCATTCTCGCTCCGACTCCTTAGATCCCATTTAATGCTGGAACACCATACAAAAGTTGATTTTTCATGTCTACAACCATCTCAGAAATGCCTAAAGATCAGGAGAATTAGTTTCTGAAGTTTGTGAATGAGAAGATTAACTATTGAGCAAAGAGCATCACTGAATCCTGCTTAAAAGGAAACTGCTGCATACCTGTGAGTTCTGTGAAAGCTTCAGGATTTTCCTCAAATAGTTTTGCTGGATGTCTCACAAAGTGGTGATTCAATACTGACATTCTCTTCTTTGGATTTTCAGTTATCTTAAAAAAATAGCAGATTGAGTTTTAAAATAAATAAATAAATAAATAAATAAATCTGAATTTCTATGGTTTAGCTAGTATCAGATCACAGTCACCAACAGTGTTGTGTGGGAGAGTGGAAGAAGGAATTACCAAGAGACATGGTACATTGCTTCTGTTTTAAATCCAATAATAACAAATCCAGTGCCATCAATGATCAATCACTACAGTAGGGAAAGTTGACAAGTATGTTATAAAACCCAAGTAGTTCCAAGATCTACATGTTGTTTTGACTTTGATCTTTTAAAAATCATATTCTCATTTTTCAGATTCATTTTTGCTCCTTCAACTTTTAACATGGTAGCCACTACAAATGATTTCTGAAGAGTTTTTATCTCCAGTGCATTGCCAGATGGCTTTGGAACACCTGTAGCCCCCCTTTTTTTTTTGTCTCTAGAATTCACAAATTAATGTGACATCAGCAAATTCTGTCCAAGCAAACTTAAAAAGCAAACCTGAAATCCTTCCTCTTCTATGTATGGGGCTCTATTCTTGCCTATTTCCAACCTCTAAACTTTAATCTCAGTTCTCCTTGTTTATTGCTCCATAAGGTATCAGAAAGTGAAGAGAGCATACAGTTTTCAAGAGGTAAAATGCTGGATATTATTTAGCAAAGCAAAAGCTCATAGAAACTGAAGGTAAATTATTTTTTTTTTAATACTACTATTCCACTTTAGTTTATTTTTATTTAATGTCATTTGCAAAAGAATATAGGTACTTTCTGGCCATCATAACAACATCATATGTGGAATATAATCGGAAACCTATAGCCAAGTTAAAGTTTAACACTTCTTCACCCTCTGTAAAATGGTTATAGAGAGTGATTTAAACTCAGGGAGAGATTACATTGAAAAGCTACACAGGTGACAATATGTATTGTTTTATTGCAGCGCAAGGTCAATTAAACCTGTTTCATCGTGGAAAAAAAAGAGCAGTCCTCACTCCAGGATAAAACATCAACTTGTCAACATTAAAAACTGGGTCAACTCTTAATTATTTCTAACACATTGTTCAAATAACCCAAAGACAAATGAGTTTTCAGTGATTGGTATCAAAAAGGCAACAATTTTCTCTGCACAACTCAGAATAATCAAAAAAGAAGTTCTGCATAATACAGTGATACACGCCCTGAATAATTAAGTATTAACTAAACATTCTGGGATGGATACAGAAAGTGTGACAGGTATTATACATATACAAACCTGCCTTGTGTTTTCATCTATGAGGTCAAAAAGAGCTCTAATTGTAGCCAGGATCAATTCTTTGCACCTAAAAAAAGAGTAAAAAAGAATAAAGAAAGTTATAACTTCCTAGAAACATCTTCAGATTTCCTTGGAAAACAAACAGCAAGCAAAATAAGGTGGGAGTTGAGGGAGGAGAAAGAATGGCCAAAAGAAATATGCATAGTACACTGAAGCAAATTTATAGTGCTATTTACTAAGAGCAGAGAAGAGAGAGATGTCAGTCCCTTGCCTCTCCTTCCATTAGCTTACCACACTATGGAGAGGTGGTCTGTCGAGGCCCAAGCTCTAGGCACTGCTGAGCTCTGTTTTGGGAAGGAAAAAGAAAATCAGATTTTGTTACTATTCAACATTCAAACATTTAGCAATATTTCTCCCCTCCCTCCTGATATAAACATACTTTGGTACTTATTGACAGGAAAAGAGTTTATCTTATAAACCTCAGGGAGGCAGATACATCAAAGTAACTTTTTTTTTTTTTTTAGCCAAAAATCTTAATCACCTTAGTAAAGACTTGGATTTTGCAGAGACTAATGTTGAAAAGGCACAAACCAGTATAGTGGGAACTTAATAAGAAAGTTCTTCAAACATTGCTTGTATGACTAAATTCACGATTTAAATAAGTGATCCCAGCAGAAAAGAAGGGTATGAATGAAAGCTGAAAGTAAGCTGAGAAGGGCATTCTCAACAGAAAGGAATATTAGAATATCCTAAGAAAGAAGTGGATACTCTCTAGCTATTCCTTTGCAAAAGTGCATATGTTGCATTTTACACTACAGTAAACAAGAAGGGAAACAAACTATTTCAGATGAGTTATGTTTAAGCCAGAATTAATGTAAGAATTGCCTTGTGTAGTAAACAGAGGCAGGAAATCACATTTTTTTCTGTCACATCTGGAATACATCAAGTATTTACAGTTTTAAAGCCATCTATTCTGTATTTCCACATGTAATATTTTCATGCTTAATTTTGCTATGCTGCAGATATAGGCTATAAGACACACACTACATCCATAGCTATCTAACATAGCTATGTCAGCTATGCATGCAAAGCAAAAATATATATATATATTTTTCTTTTTACCACAACTGATAAGGCACTGTCATGTTGACTTAATCTTGGCAGAAAAGTCAATCCAGAACGAACTTGATAATCTCTGAATCCTCCCGCCACAGAAAGGGTAGTTAAATTCCTTAAATCTTGGGCCTTCAGAATCCAATGATTGTTTACAGTTGTATAAAAATCTATAAAATATATTACAAAAGAAAAAAATCAACCACTATTTCCCCATAGATTTATTTTATATATAAAAAGCCACAGAAATATTTAATTCTGGGCATCCTGAGGGCATTCAAGTCCCATTACCAATTTTGATTCGTAACAGGAAGCCAAGTGATGCATTATACATCTATACAAGCAAAATTTCGATATTCAGCACTCCCATCTCTCTCTCCTTGGGAATGACAAACACGTCTTCCACAGAAACACGCACTGCAAATTCCTGATCTTGCAGGTTGCTTCAGCTTTCAGCCCCATCAGCTTTCAAGCCCCTAACAGTGTCACAAAATAGACAGCGTAGTTCTAGTAACAAAGAAATGGATTAAAGTGATAGAGCTAGAGCTTGTTTTTGTATAAAGAGACTGCTCTGCATAGAGAGTTCTTTGCCAGAATCTCACCAACTAATACTTGAGAGGATCAATAAGGAAACACGAAGTAATCAGACCAAATGCAACACTCACCGGTAAGGTATTTGTCTAAAGGCATTACAGGTGCAACATGAGGTGTGGCTTGTGTAATAAGGAGGTTTATAAGTTCAGGTCTAAAATTCTTCAGCGTAAGCAAGGCTCTTGCAACGAGACCACCCATGGAATGACCCACTATTGCAACACTGGTCGGTGCAAACTCTCGATCCTTAAACAAAGAACAAAGAGTAAGGGGACAATAATATGACAATAGGGTTGGACCACGTCTCATCTGCTTAACAGCCTTTTTCCCTCCCCACTCTAAAACCCACTTGGCCTGCCCACATTTAGCTGCTACACATTTAGCTGCTACCTCAAAAACTATGCTAAGCATGAAATTTACAGCTCAAAGATTAAAAAGCCCATAAAATAATCAGAAACTTCACCTTGTTATATTTAATGAGATTCCTCTGGACATAGGTTAGCAGAGAACTTTGCTGAAAACTAGATGGAAGTTGATTTAATATAAAATCTTTCAATAAGCTAGAGAAAGTTTATGTCTCTAATACAAAAAAGCACACAATGAGTATGTATTTGTTTATAAACACAATATAGAACTTATCCAAGATTCAGGGATTGTGACAAGAGAGAAAAATCTAATAAAAAAAATAGCACTTCTCACTCATGCTACTACCACATACACTATAAATAAAAGTTCCCCTCCCTTATTAATCACCACTTCAGTTTTCCCTCAGAATAGGCAGCTCAGATGCCCAAATGCAAAACACAGTTCAGTTTATTTCACCACTTACCCTGTACAACTTAAGGATTACTTTTATGCACTCATGCACAAATTTGGTCTGTTTTTGCAGACTCCCTCCATACAATGCAACCAATTCTTCATTGAAGTTGACACTGAAGAAATTAAAATGGTACTTGAAATCAATATCTTCTGCTTTTCTAAGTGCAATAGAGCCAAGAGAACGTACTAAGAAAAGAAATCACATAATCAAGGAGTGATTAAACTCTTCCGACATCTTCATCAGTAGAAAAATACATAAATAAATATCCCATTATGCAACGTATGTTAATCATTGTTCCATCATAAATCCATTGCTCTTTCAAAAGTCACATATAAGACTAATAAAAAAGGATGAAAGGACACACAAAAGCAAATAATCCATTTACTTTTTATTTCTAAAATTCAATTGAACTTGTTTTACAAGTTTTGAAGATAGAAATAACTGGAGCAAAAGTATCTGCCAGCTTCTGATAAAAACAAAATTTTAAATGGGAAACGTCTGAATTATTTCACATTTGTATAATACTTTCTGATTAATATATCTATTATCAGAATATGAGACATGTATATAATAATATATATGTCACAACAAAATTTGCAGTACAATGCAGAACAAAATCCACTTTCCACCTAATATCTTGAAGGAGAAAAATATTCCATGTGCAAGGTCTTGTTCCTGACCTGTCTTCTCTGTCTAACCCTGTTTAACTCAGACTTCTCAGTGCAGAATTGTCACCGAGTTTCCATGCAGACGTGGCAAGGTGGAAAAGGTAGTGGCCGCAAATAGAGAGTATCATATAGAAGGAGGAAAGCAAAAGAGAAAATTTCAAAAGCCCATATACAGTTCTGCAAGGGAAACTAATGATGTCCTGAAAGATCTGCCCGATTCTGACTGCCACAAGGTAGATTTTAGATTCCTCTGGAGTTCCAGAGCTGGTGTTTTAGAACCTTTGTTCTGGAAGAAAACATTGGAATTAAAATATCAAATGAACATCGAAGTGCTTGAAATGGATGAAGAGCAGGAGTTACTTTTACACATTCAAATTGCAGACTTCTAACTTGTAGATGGGAACTTCTAACATAAACTGCGGTCAACCACTTTGCCAGTTTCAACTAAAGTCAACAATCACTAAGAACACCTTCTAAGTGGATTTAAAAGACCGAGTACCTCAACTTTATATCTTGGAAGTCACGGTACAAAGGACAGAAGTTTTACCATAGATCAGAAGGCAAAGATCTGTCACAGACTATAGATCTGTGGCAGATTCATAACAACACTGTTCAATTCCCGAGCAATTGGGTGCTTGCAGTCCAAAGGACAGCAAGAACGCAGCGCTGCCACAGCACGGAACAAGCAACAGATGGTGGTTCCCAGATAAGCAGGAATTACAGAGAGGTTCCTAAAGGAAGCAGAACGCTTGTTCATAACACCGAAGCATGGGTGATGCCTACTAATTGAAAAACATGAAGGATTAGCCAATTTCAAGGGAGAAAACTTGAGCTCTGTGTGCAGTGTCTGCTCAGAAACTCCTTACGTTGCCCTTCTACTAGAAAACTCAAGTACTAAACAGTGACGTTTTTGCCAGCACACATGAGACTTATGGACAGATCTGGCCTTAGCCTCACAGAATTGTGTTGACCTGCCTTCATGTGGTATAATACAAATATTATCAGTCCTGCGCAATAAATGTACAGATACAGTTAAACAATTTCATTGCAAGAGGACCACCCCTCAGCATGCAGGCTGAGTAAAGACATTTATGTAAAAACCACTAGAAAGATAAATACTGTTCACCATAGTTCTTCTTATTTTAGACTAACAATACATCCTGAATGAGACTGATCTGCTAAGTTGAAGCTATGGAATCTTAGAATTCATTCTACAAACTTAGTATATTTTTCAGTAATTCATTGCAATTTGGCAAGTGGGGACCAAAACAAATGGAGGGGGATGAGGAAAAAGGGAGGGACGAGGAAAAGGGGCTTTCCAGCTTTCCAAACTTACGAAATCTCAGGCCAGAAAAAATACTATAGCCCAGGCTCCTCAACCAACTTGTTGAACAAAATAAGGTCTTGTACCTCTTTGACATTGACCAACAAGGGCATCTTTTCCCCTATAGGGCCGAACAACGTGACTTTTGTCAATGTTACTTCAAACAGAAAGTTTCTTGACATCTTGACACTTGATAACTATTAGAGCTGTTTGTAACATAAACATAATCTAGCTAATTGCTTACCTTGTTTATAGCTTCCAGCATTTCCAGGGAGAAAGAGAACGGGAATTCCTGTCAGTATCAGATTTTTGTTGGCTTCAGCATAATTTCCTTCTCCATAGAGATAGAGTTCATACGCTGGGTAACGTCTCGCTGTTTTTTTTGGTAATTTTATTTTCTGTTGTGAAATGTAAAAATGCAACAGAGAATCAAAACAATATCTTCTATCACCTAAAAACACATTGAAGGACTTAGAACACAAATAGGCAACTACAAGAAAGACAGGAGAATTTATCCTTATTAAAAGGCTGAATTAAAAGTTGAAAAAGCAGTTGTAAATATCAAGGTTTTCCTAAAAACTATCAAGTATGGAAACATGACACTGAATTCTCATAGCAGACATGAATACTATGAATACTACTTTTGATATAGCATCAAAAAAAAGTACAGTACATTTTAGTACTTAATTTTTGCAGCTTATCTAGCTAATATTCTACTCTTCGCAATACTTTCTGAAATTTAAATGCAACTTCAATCTATTTGGGAAATGGATTTTCTGAGCAAGTAGAGGCAACTGTTCCCTGGAGGTGCAAGTGCCTGGAAAACTACGACCTATTTGTTTCCGAGTGCCTACACAAACTTTAAGAAACGAAGTGCATAGTTTACATTGTTGCACACAGGAACATATAGTGGCCATCTAGTCATACATATTACTCAGGTTATGTTTTACATACTGTTTTTAGTCTATACAGAATGAGAAGCTGCATCAGATTTTGTTTTAAAAATAAAATAAAAATGAAGTATTAAATATTTTTTAAGTAGACATTAGTCTGCATTATCCTGCACGAGTGGCAATGGCTACTTACTTGAAAGAGCAATCAATTTGATCAAGTTTGGAAACAAACAGAAAAAGAACTGCAAATATGTATCTCAAAGCTGCACAGTCTTTTAACCAGATTTACCATGACACTAAGGGTAAAAAAGTAGTGTCAAAAAATGGAGAATTCTCTAAGGACATGAGAATTCCCAAGCAGAAACTGGGACATTTCAGACATTTCAGTGGCCCTAATTATACTTATTATAGCTGAGTGATTTTGGAATTCTTTGCAATATTACATAACTCAGAAAAAGAATAAGGTATTTTATTTGATGGAAAGGCGAAACCTCTAGAATGTAATTATTTAGGTGACTGTCAGATGATACTGAGGGATAACAATTAGTATGCTAGGGTAAATTACACATACAGTGCAAATCCTCTTAAATTACATTCAGTACAAACTCTACTAGATTATTTTTTACAAAAAATATAATTATAAATTGTAATGAAAATTTACACAAGAGCAGCAGCCACCTCAGAATTTTTCCACGGTGAGATCTTAGTGCTAGTGACAAGCAGTCTAGTTTTTAAAGAACATAAGATCCAATCTAAAAAGGCATCCCCCTTCTTTGGCTTAATCATATTTCTATGTCAGGTCGTATTTCCTTGATTAAAAGAAAAAAATAATGTAATATTTAGTAATTTAATCTAACCTCATAATCACGGAATTTATTCATGGAATTATGAATGAATTCCCCAAAAGAAAATAACAAAAACTATTTGAACCCAAAGTTAAGTGACGATTAAAGCTTAAACCTGTGTGTCGGGAGTCTTTGAATCCTATGACACTGTTTTAGATGAAATAAGAAATAACTGAAAAAAAAACAACTTGGGGGGAGGTGGATTTTGGGGGGGATTTGGGTTGGAATACAGATTTTTTAGAGTTTCAAGGAGCACATAAAGAGCAAATGAGCACATAATGGACTTGACTAGGTTCTAACTAGAAACATGTCTATTTTGGATGATTTTTTCTCACTCTCACCTGTAAAGCAGGTGATTTTGGCCAAACTTTCCCCCCACACTCCTCCCTTCCCCCCTCCCCCTCTGTAAGACATATCATATTTCATGATATTGCTCTTAAAGTCGGATTCCCGAGACTTTGGTTGTATAATTTGTTATAACGACCTACAGAAACTTTTTCCAGCACTGAGATTTTGGCTTCGACTTTTGCCTCGCTTCCCAAGGAAATTAAGTTACAAAGGAGTTGTCGCCGTTAAATCCTGACTCCCTTTAGCTAAGCCGGACAGGGCCAGTTAATCGCAGATGCGGTAACTCCGCCGCTTTCGTAAGAAAAGACGTAGAAAATGAGGGGAAGAGATTGAAAACGGTACCATGACTTATTAGCTCTGCTCTGAGGTAAACTGCGCTATGAGACACGAAAGAACGAATCCCATGAAATTAAACTCACGACCTGCGGGGGACGGCATGGGAGTGCGGGGATGGTTTCAACCGGAGAGAAAACGCAGAAAACGCCCCTAAGAGGGGCGTCAGGAATAAGGTGCTTTGAGCAGCTTCCCACCCGCACCCGAGCGCAGCAGCAACAGCTCGCGGCGCCGCCATCGCCTCACGCCGCCCACGGCCGGGCCGGCCCGGGTACTCCCGGGGTACTCGGGTACTCACCAGGTACTCGGGGTACTCGAACATGTAGGTCATGCCGCAGCGGTTCTCCTCGTAGAGGAAGAGCACGTCGCGCGCGCCCAGCAGCGCGAGCGCCGCCAGCGCGCCGCACCAGAGCGCCGCCGCGCGCCCCA